CCCGCCTCGGGCTCGTCGAGCACGGCGGGCGTCTCGGGGACATAGGCCGGTGCGCCCGGATCGGTGTACATCCCCATCCCCTCATCTCCGTCGCCGAATATCGACGGCGCGCCTTCGCCCGCCAGTACAACGCCCGGCCCTAACTGTGCACGCAGCTCCTCTTCAGCCGATCTTTGTTGTGCGGGCGCGGGGCCTTGGGCCGTCGGTGGCAAAGTGGACTGAGCCTGAGCCGCGGCCGCAGCGAGAGCCGCGTTCCTCTCGTCCTCCTCATCCAGCTCCAGCGAAGTATCGCTGAACTCGTCCTCGTCGATCGATTGCGCCCGCCGCTCTTCTGCAGCCTGCGCCTCCGCTTGAGCGGCCGCAGCAGCAGCAGCAGCCGCATTCCTCTCGTCCTCCTCATCCAGCTCGAGCGAAGTATCGCTGAACTCATCCTCGTCTATTGATTCTTCCGCCGCTCTTTGCACCTGCGCTTGTGCGGAAGCTTGAGCAGCAGCCGCAGCCGCAGCCGCAGCAGCCGCGTTCCTCTCGTCCTCCTCGTCCAGCTCCAGCGAAGTATCACTGAACTCATCCTCGTCCACCGACTGCGCCCGCCGCTCTTCTTCAGCCTGCGCCTGTGCCTGCGCCGCGGCCGCGGCCGCAGCAGCTGCATTCCTCTCATCCTCCTCGTCCAGCTCCAGCGAAGTATCACTAAACTCGTCCTCGTCGTACTCCTCCTCCTCACCCACACGACTCGCAGCAGCGCCCGCGTCGGACGTAGACGTCCATGTGGCTGGTACGAGCGAGAAGCCCGCTGGAGGGGGCGAGGGCGGGGCGGCGACTGAGGCGAGTGTGTCGAGTGCCGATGTTGATGTTGATGGAGCGGGGGCGGGGGCGAGCGAGGCGGGGTCGACGCGCTCGACGTCTTCTGGATGTTGAGCTGTTGGGGAGTCTGTGGTGCCGAGGGGGAGGGCGGGCGCGGCGTTTAGAGATGCTGAGGCTTGCGCTGTCGAGAGCGCCGGGACAGGCGCCGGCGCTGGCGCAGAGGACGAGGGTAGCCCGAAGGGATTGGCAAGCACTTCTTCGTCGGCCTCAGGGTCGGTGGGCTGCTTGTCCTGCGGCATAGGCGACACCGCGGCTTTCCTCCTCGGCGGCGAGATCTCCACGATATCCGAGTCGCCGTCTGAGTCGGCGTTATTGAGGAGTCCGGCGTTGTTGTCGCCATAAACGTCCTCCGCACGGAGAGAAGAGCCGTCTTGTCGGTACTTGACGGAAAGCGGTGAAGAGTCCGCTTCAGCATCTTCATCGTCGTCGTGCTCGTCGCCACGCTCGCTGTAAACGTCCGCAGCGGAGACGAACATGCCCTTCTGTCTGTCTTTGACAGCTTGCACGTCCTCCTCTCCCTCTTCTCCATCTCCACCCTCGTCATCATCAGCGTATTCAGCGCCTTCTTCACCCTCGTAATCGTCCTCCGCACCATCTTCGTCTTCGTCAGGGTACTGAAGCTCCAAATCTTCCTCCGATTCTTTGCTTATGAGATGGCCTGGACGCGTTGCGCGGTGGCCCCATGGGACTGCAGGTGGGTTGTTCCAGTCCCAGCGGTCTGAGGAGTGTTCCTCTTGGACTTGGTCTGCAAAAGATGTATATGAGCATTAAACTCGTCTCAAGACCAAACGACAAGGATTGTGCCTTACCTTCTTCGTCCGAATCGTCCACATTGATGACCTCCGCCTGAGCTGGAGATGGCGCAGGATGCAAACCAGGACTGACGGCGCGAAGACGGGGTGTGAGGTTGTGTGGTGAGCCTCCGCGGACGGGCGCGTCGCCGCCGGAGTAGTAGTCTTCGGCGAATGTCCGCGCAGGCGCCCATGGGTCGGGAAGTTCGGGCGCGTCGACGTCTGCATCAATTTCGTCTTGGCCTGCCAGAGAAAAGTACGAAATTGTCAATCTTTGATAGTGATACAGAAAATGGAAATGCAGACCTTCGCCATCCTGCTCGTCTTCGTCTTCTGCAGTAAGGTCATGAGGGAATTGTGCGGGTGCGGCGTCGCCTGACATAAGAGTCAGTATAAAGTAACATGACGATGTAATGAAACTTTACCTTCATCGTCCTCCGCTTCATCTTCCTCCTCCTCCTCCTCCTCCTCCTCCTCCTCGTCATACAAATCACCCTCACTGGCCCTTCTTGCCCGCTCAATATGTGACTTCGAGCTCCCAGGCGCGTTGAGGTCCTCCTCGCTCTCGTCGTCCTCGTCCCACGACTCTTCCTCCTCCTCGTCGTATTCATATTCATCGCTATCTCCCTCCTCGTCTTCGTCCTCCTCGCCCTCTTCCTCTTCCTCGTCGGATTCGAGCAATTCGATAGGCGCCGTTGACGAGCTGCCGAACCCCGGCCCGTCGCGCGGGTCGCGCGCCTTGCCCTTCGCTCGCGCAGAGACGGCGTTCACGTGTGCGAAACTGTCCTCGACGCCCTCGTCGACACTCTCCTCGCTCTCCTCCTCGTCCTCCCCCATCGACTCGTCTTTCCCACCCTCAGTCATCGTTTCGTCGGCTCCACGTGCAGCCTCGAGCGCACCCGTGACGCTCTTCTGTTTATCCTTCCCCGCATCCTCATCCTCGAGCTCATCGTCATGGTCCAGAGCCTTCCTCAACGAGCTGGTAAGTCCACCAATCCAGCTGTCGAAATCGGACGCGTTGAACGCGTCGTAGGGGTTGCGGATCGGCGCGGTTAGGCTGAGGCTCGAGCGCGGGGTTGTGCGTGGGGCCAGACGCGCCGCCATTTTTATTTGGTTGACGGCGGTGGTGGGGGTAGGGAGAAGAGGAGAGGAGGGAGGGTGTGGTGGAGGAAGACAAGACGGTCGCGGCCCGTGGTCTCGGGATGACGGTGGCCTCGCGCCGAAGCGGTGTGACGCGTCACGCGTCAACGCGCTCGTCACGCACGCGCGGATCACGGTGCACCGTGCACGGGTCGTTCTCGTCGCTCATCACGACGTCGACGCGCTGTCTGCCTCGCCGGCCCACTCACAATCCATGCAATTCTGTCTTTCTGGGAGCAGCTTACTTGAGTACAGGATCTTCCCGGTTCCGCAGTTGATGAACAACAGACTTTGGAACGTCTTAATTGAACAACTCGCACAGAACAGCCGGTCCCAACGTCTACATCGAAATCTCATATATCACCCTCACCGGCTTTCTCTCTGTTCGGTGAACTTGGGGACGTTAGCTGAAATGCGTGGCTCACTCGGGAACGGTAGCGCTCACGTATTTACCACCACCTCGGCGGCATGATGGTGGCTGTCTTCACCCCTCCCTGTATCGAGCCCCGAAGTGGAGGAATCATCCACACCACCGTGTCCTTTTGCGAAGTCGCGCTTGTTCGGACCATCGAAACTCGAGCGGTGCGATCTACCGATGTCATGGTCAACCGACGAACTCTGGCCGTACGCTCATGAATACCTACCCCGTCTCAACGTCCCGTGACCAACTTTGAGGTCGTTCGCCAAACTCGATTGTTCCTAGTGTCGACCGTGCCCCGCGCTCGCGCGGGCTCCTCTTATAACCAAGCCAACCTCCCGCAATATCAAAGACGCGCCAGTACGCCGCGCGAGCCTCCTTCGTGACACCAAACAAAGCAAAGATGGCGAATGCGAGCACGGGCGACGCCCACTGGGAGAGGTAAAGCTGTGCAACATCAGCAGTACCGAGCGACAGCAGCTGCTCATATGTGCCGCCAGTGGCCCCCCAATATGCCGGATCGTGTAAATAATCCCATCCGGAGTAGAAAACGAAACTTGTTCCCACGTTCAAGATCAAGACGATAGACACGATGCCGAGAGGCAGTGTGAGGACCAAGTCAATGCTTGCGACGACCAAAATACGGATTTAATCGGTACGTGATACCGAGCCGTTGCTGTGCAGAAACTTGTTGATGTCCCGATTACGGCGGTAGAGCAGCATCGCAATCCGGCCTGATAGTGAAGGATGGCGTATCAGAGGCGATTAGTAAACGCTCGCTTATTGGTATGTGCGCACTATAGTATACCAGGATAGACCATAGGGGGATGGTCACGCTCCACGAGAATACGAGTAAGATGCCTAATCCCGTAGAATCGGGAACATTCGCGCAGCCGAAGCCCTCTAGGACCTCAAAGCGGGCAATCTGCACGATGTAGTCTGTGGACAAGAGTGGATCAATGTATATTCGCACTTCAACCTTACTGTGGCGTACATAGAGGCCCTGCAACGATGAGGGGCACTAATAGTCCCAATGTCCATTCAATCGCGCGATTCCGGCGTGTCTATAATTCTCTCGTTCCTCAGCACGGCTGAGAAGGTAGAGCGAGAAGCCTACCATGCGTTCGTCAGGCAGATAGACGGATTGAAGACTGGTTATCAGGTAGATCCGACGCGTTATGATCAAAGTAGACATCGGCTTGACCACAGCCGTGATCACCTGTATATGCGTAACTGTAGATGAAGGTCGAACAATGAACATGATGTTTGCTACCTCAGAAGCTGTAGCAGAGGCGCACCGATATCACAATATATCAAGTGCTTGACCTCCGAGTTATCAGCCCATATAATCCCATTGATGCCAAGTGTGAGGTTGTTGAAGAAGAGCCAAAAACACAGGAACGCGACACCAAGGTTCCAGCTTTGCCGCATGAAGCTCGTCAATAGTACGAGAAGCATCATTGCAGAGGACAAGATACAAGCAATGGGGCGGAGCGGGTATGTTGGATCGACTGCAGCTACCATCGTGGCGTCGTCTCTGCCTGCAGCTCTTCGATAGGGGGACGGCGGATCTATATGCGATGGTCTCTTCGCTTCCCGCGCATTGGGCACAGCTTACTTCCCGCTACGCCGGATCAGCTACAGAGACCATTCATCGTGCGGGACGCGCGACAGCACGATCTAAGTTTCAGGCTATTATCATTCTCATAGCCGATGGTCAGATGTGACAGAGACGTGTGTTCACTATGCGATCCTTCTGCAACACCAAGGATTGCTCGAGGGAGGTTCCATTGAGCTAAGAAGAAAATGTAGGAGACTATGAGAGGAAGTCCAGCAGTAGCGAAGTAGCAGTGTGCGGCAGTAAAATGATAGACACGCAATTGCTGGTATCAAGTGATAGGGGACCGTGATAGATCTAGTGTCACCCATTCCACAACGGAAAGCAGGATTCCAAAATTGACCTTTGCATGTGTATGCCGGTGTGAGGTCAACGCCGAAAGATGTTGAGAGCCAAAAGACGTATTTGACTCATTGCTAAGCCTCCGAGTACGACTCATGAGCGCTTATCAATCCTAGACGCTCTCAGGATCCCTGAATACGTTCTCTCTATACCACTTCAATTCTATTAGAACCATGGATCAGTCTCCATTATGGCCAGTGCGGAGACCCACACACCTGAAATGGACCCGCGGATGTCGTCCAACGCTCTGCCATTCGCTATCAGCATTAGTCGAGCAGAAGATATAGAGAAGCAAGAACCTATGAGCGCTGACTTTCTTCTGGTACGGCTTCTGCGGAAACCACCGCCAGTGAAGTTCCTGGGGAAAACATCAGATTCGTGAACATGCAGGGGGCTGTAAGCTTGAGCAGCACCTTAATTGTAGACACATCTGTGGCTGTCAACCAGATATCCGTGAATCTAACAGGTTGACGTACCAACAATCCTGACGTGGTGACGTGAGTGAGATACATTTGAAAGTGCTTGACGCAGCGTACCTGTAATGCAGCCAGTCGGTGATAGATGGCATATACGCGTCCAAGAACATCTTGTCTGCGTGTACTGAGTTGCCCGCGAGACAAGCAGTGCCCTTGTGTGGGATACGCGACTTGATGTAATCTAGCACCGTCTTCTCTACTTGATCATGAGAGTGAGGAGAGCTCAAGCAAGCCTGAGTCAGCCCAGACTGACGAGTCGGGTCAGCATCTGAGCAATGTGCGACGAAGAGCTGAGACGTACTTGTCCGTGTTGCTTGATGCACCACTCATTCATGCTGCACGACTTTGCATTATATATGCGTTATTCACGATGCAAGAGGTGGGAGCATACTGGTCCAAGACGTTCTTCTCAGTCTGAATCACCAGATCGACGCCTTCGTCGACGACCTCCAGATTGCCGTTCGTGATCAATACCTATGTGCGTTACTTCAGCTTGACCGTAGGAGCAGGGACAGACATTTATCATGCACACAGCAATCTCAAGAAGCCGGTCCGAACGCGGGTCCAACCCCGTCATCTCACAGTCAATCCACACGAGCGGGCCGTCTGCGCGACCGAGCTGCCCAGGCGCCAAAGACTCCATGTTCCAAAACCTTGTTCGCGGAATCTTCTTGAGGTAACTGATGTCACGCCTTGCTACGAGTGGTTTGATGTGGTGTGAGTGTGCAGAGATGCGACGCAAAGCGAGCATGCAAACGCGGTCGCCGTCAGGAGCAAGCGCGCAGACGCGGCGACGCGCCTCGTCACGATGGACGCGTCGAATATCCTTCGCTTTTCCACGGTTAGGGGCACACAGCTAACCTACGCGATGGGCGCTCTGCACCCAAGGCTCTGTCTTTTACCTTCATCTTCTCTTCGGGCACTGCAGACGCAGACGTTGGACGCGTATATTGATCGACCAGAGAGCCCGGTCCTATATCATGAGCTACTGTTCTCGACCCTCACTACTTGATGTCTGAGTAGCCGCGCCGCATCACCTTCAACAAATGTACAATATCTCCGGTTCTTAGTCCTCAGGTCCTGAATTGCAACCTCCACGCACCGAGATCTACTACTCTCAGACTCGTTTTTGGAGTATATGACGATGTCCACCAAGCGACCAACGAACCAACGCGCCTCGTCATCCTCGACAACCGCATCTCCCTCCCCCGGACCCACCTCCAAACGCCAACGTCTATCGGCGCCACACAACGCCCTTCACGGACACAAAGTATACATCATCACTGCCAAACTCGAGAGCTCTACCATCAGCGAGCTTCATGAGCTTGTCGAGCGCTCCGGCGCCGCGCACGCCCGAAGCCCTGAAGATGCCGACGTCATCGTTACCGCCATCGGGATGCGCAAGCGCTTCGAGCGGCATGTCGACTGGAAAGTGGCCGTAAGCTTACAACCCTTCTACTCGACAAGTTCCTGTACTCAATTGGCATACTGCAGAAAAGCAAGGCTGTCGTCCGCCCGGCATGGCTTGAGGATTCGGTTGCGCAAGGAAAGGCATTGCCATGCGAAGACTACGCCGCGCTTCGCGATCTCAAGGAGACGACCTGCGCGAACTGTCCCTCCGGCCGGTGCACTTGCGGGCCCACAGACTCAGACTCAGACACCTCACCTCTCAATACGCCGACCAAGGCCAAGAAACCGCGCTCATTTGATCACAGTCAACGTGAATCCGCCGTGGCGAGGACGAGTGCGCGAACGGAAATACCGGGGTACTTGCTTCCCCCGGAGACGCCCTATGCAGTGGAGATGGAGAAGTTACGGTTCAATACGAGGTTCTCGTGTCAACGCGCTACACCACTACGCTGTATCAATCAAGATTTGTGCGATACACTCGAGATCATACGCCGGAGCCGGCTTCTTGTGGGCGAGGACCGTAGCGCGCTGAGTTACGGACGCGCGATAGCTGTTATCAAGTGTGAGTGCACGGAATGCGACATATATGATGCTTTACTGAGCACTCTCACAGCGTTCCCGAAGAGGATCACCGGCGAGACGAGGGACGAAGCCAAAGAGTTACCGAACATCGGGGTGAAGCTGTCTAAGATGGTATGTTCATTTCTACCACTTACCACAACATACTGATATCTTTGTGACAGATCAACCTCTGGCTCGATACAGGGCAGATACCTGAGATCGGTACGCCGCCCCATATGTCGGTGTTCTACCAGATGCTGTAGCTGATATAGTTGCATCCAGAGAAGATCCGCCACTCAGAGCGCTTCCAAGCCCTCTCATCCTTCGCCGAGATCTACGGGATTGGACCGACCACAGCGCGACACCTGTACGCAGTGGGGGTGCGTACGATGACCGAGCTAGAAGCCTACTACGAGGCGGATACGGCGCCCGAGAGTCTTGTACACCTACAAGAGGACTCTCAAGACGCAGTTGACCCTAGTGCAGAACCAGATCCAGGGGTCTCGATGACGGAGGCGGACCACATGGGAAGCAACCCGCAGGAGACGTGGATAAAGATCGCCCTCTCCTGGCGGCACGATTTGGCGAAGAAGATAGCGCGCAATGAAGTCGAGTCCATCCGCGATGTGATTTGTGCTGAGCTCGAGAAGATGCAGCCAGGCTGCGTGAGCACTATAGTCGGAGGGTACAGGCGCGGGAAGACGGAGTGCGGCGACGTCGATATAGTCTTCACGCATCCGGATGGCGGACGCGTGCCCGGCTTGTGTCGTCGGTTTGTGCGCGATCTGCACAACAAGGGGCTCGTGACACATGTAATCCGTACGCTTCTTTTCATATAGCCACCCGTCTGACCGAGTGCTAATCTCGAACTTGTCGCGCAGACTCCATGGGCTTCCACTCTCATGACCCTCTGCGCACGCATCACTGGGATTCGCTCGAGAAGGCACTCACCGTGTTCGTACCACCTGGACAGACAACCCGGCGGCGCGTTGATCTGATCTTTGCGGCACCGGAGGTGTACTGGACCGCTGTTGTTGGCTGGTGCGTTCTCTTAGTCGTTTAACCGACGTATGTTGACTGAGAGACGCTTGTTTAGGACCGGGTCGATGATGTTCGAACGCGATTTGCGCTCGGTTGCGAAGCTCCAGTACGTCTTTCATTCACAGTTTCTATCTTTTACCGATGCTTTCACCCAGGGGTATGAAGTTTGACTCCTCCGGAATGTACGTGTCACCCTTCTGGCCTCAAGAGATCTCGTTCTAACTACGATTCTGAGATAGTTCACGCCGCCGAGACTCGAAGCTATTTCATCCGCGCTCAGAGAAGGAAATCTTCGACATGTTCGGCCTAGCCTGGATCCCACCCGAACTCCGCAACGCAGACGCGTAGACCCTCAGACTCGCGCCGCAGGAGACGCAGTACATACTCATGTGACCGCGTCTCTGGCCGTTCTCAGGCTATCTGCTCTTGCCCTTGGCTCGCCTTCGACTCGCACCCCCTTCTACCGCATCTCGCTCTTTCAACCTCCGCTGAGAAGACGAGATGCGTAGTGCGAATCGCGATGTAGCCTTATCTCTACGCCCGCGTCCATCTTCGCATGACGTCCCGAACACGATAGCGTCGACTGCCTCCTGAGCTTTGTGTCTGGGCTGTTTACTACGCCGTGTTTTGCCATCTTCTGTTCATCTTTCCATCTGTACTGACACCTGATTCGTACGATCCGGGATTCGCGTTTCAAGAATGAAGATTATCTGCAGCAGCCGGGCGCTACGACGATCCCCTTGTGGGCTGAACCATTCTGATCTAGACATCAGAGATCCTCCAATTCCATAACAAAAACCTGTGTTTTGTTTGGTAAACAAAGTGTCCTCCCCCCACAAAAGGGTTGCGGGGTGCTGAATGGAAGCGAGGTTTGCCCGGAGACCCCGGATGGGTTGTGTCAGAGATAGAGGGCGCCAGTTGTTGTCGGGCTTCGAGAAGGTACTTCTGTAGTGCCTGTGAGATGAGACGGCGGTAGGGTTCGAGTCGAGATAGAGCAGAAGTCGGAACCGGAGATAGAATGTGGCATGGCGAAAGGGAGACATACGGAACACAAACGTTGTATATCACCAACTGAAAGTGGCTGTTGTATGTCCTGCGAAACCGCTCTCGGCAATGCCGAACAATATGGCTGTCCGCGCATTGGCTCAAGTCAAGCGGCGCAGTGCGCGCGCTCGATGGTGTGCAGGTATCGGACGGCGTCAAGGCGGCACCACGGCCGTTGACAACGTCAAGACATGTCAACGAAGCTTACATACAGTCTGAAGGAAAACTTCAAAGGGGGTCCTGGAGTTGGTAGAGCGAGGCGCGCAGCGATAGCACGCATTAGGCCGCTCCGTCGGCCGACTTCAGGTCCTCATCAGAGACCGTGTACTCTAGACCTGTCACAGCTCCCGAGGCGGCCACTTTTGCAAGTCCAAAAGCTCCAGGACGACGGAGCGCAGCCGTCAAAGGCGCATGGGGTTCAAGCAATGTGGCGTCGGCGGAAGACGCCTTGTGGCTCACGGCAACGTGAAAGGAAGCGTCGACACGACCAGTCACAGTGGGACGCGACGCGCATCGACGCGTACCGTACCGCACGAGCCACGCATGAATCGCGCGTCGAGCACGCGCCGGGCGGCGACGTCGGCAAAGACATCGTGGCCTCGGGGAGGCGCCCTGGAGTATATTGAACGTAATATTATTGGTGGCGCGGTCGGTGGTCGCGAGGAAAGTCGCCGCGAAGCGACGATCAATGAGCCGGTAATAGCCGGGCGGGAGAGGGTGATGGGAGCGGGCGCGCGCATCTCTGTTCTGGTTGGTTTTGGGACTCGACCTCCACCACCGCCGCACGATCAGCAGAACTTCGCATCTCCTCTTTTCTTGAATCCCTTTCTCCTCCTTTTTAGAAACAAAACTCTGTCTATAATCCTTGGTATATAATGGCTGCCGACCGCCCGACGCTCTCGCTCTCCATGTCCGACTTTATTGCTCCGGACGCACCGCTCACTTCGCCTGTATCAGACGACTACGCCTATTCGCCTACTGCCATGGACAGCTTCTCGTTTGAGTTTCCGCCATACTCGTACGCAGACGATTCGGCTGCTTCCTCGCCCGGTTCGCCCATGCTCGCAGAGCGCGCACTCAAGATGCGGATGACCCCGGACTACTCTTCGGACGCAAGCATGCCCACGAGCCAGGTCTTTGATCTCGAGCCGACGCCCGTGTCCTCGCGCGAGGCCAGTGCCGCGGCATCTCCCGAGCCCAACACCGAAGTCAAGAAGGAGCGTGCGCCCTCGAAGCGTCCCTCCGAGTCGAATATCAAACCGGATGCACCGAGCAAGAAGCAGCGCACCGAGCGCGTTACCACGAAGGATTTCGTGCCTCCGGACGTCTCGGGCCTCAGCAAGCGTGAAGCTCGTCTTGTCAAGAACCGTGCGGCGGCGTTCCTCAGCCGGCAGCGCAAGCGCGAGGAGTTTGAGTGTATGGAAGTGTACGCAATCTCTCCTCATTTTTAACCTTAATTCCGCCCTAACGCCGCGCTCCGACACAGACGCGTCGCCGAGCTCGAGCAGGAGAATGCCCGCCTTCAGGCCATTGCCGCGGGCGTAGCACCTCCGCCAGTGCAGGTTGTGCAGCAGCCAGCCGCTGTCGAGCTCTTCAGTGAGATCGACCAGCTCAAGGCGCGCCTTGCCGAGGCCGAGAAGCGCGAGCAGGAGCTCAACGACAAGCTTGCGGCCCGGCCCGCGCCGGCCGTTAAGCAAGAGGAGCCGGCAGAGTCCCGGCTGTCCCCGCTTCGCCCGGCTGTCCCCGCCTCCTCGCCGCGCTTGGGCGCGAGCCTCTCCCTCCTGGTAAGTCGCCTCCCTTGCCTCGACTTTGCCGCTCCCATCGGGGCGCAAGATCTGCGCCCCATCAGCGCGTGGGAGACACGCGTCTACTGCGGCCGCTTCTTAAAGTTCACATCAGGCTCGCATTACGCGCACGTGCTGACCTCATGATCCACAGGTCCTCCTCTGTGCACTCCCCTCCATCTTCGCCGTCTCGGGCGGTGCCCCGGGAGCCGACATGCTCTCTACCTCTGGCTTCCCGTTTGCAGCGCAGGCGGGCCATGGCCTCGACGTAGGCGCCGGTCTCAACCTGTTTGGCAACGACGTCGACTGGGACAACTCGCCGATGGACCTCGACCTCGAACGCCCGCTCACCATGCCGTCGCGTCTTGAGTTCGCAGATAACCTCGGCGCACTTGGTCTTGGCGGTCTTGATATCAGCTTTGATGCTGAGGCTGCGGCCGATGGCAAGATTCGCGTGCGGATCCACCATCCGGCCTCGTCGGCACCCTCCTCGCCTGTCATGCCCGCCTCGCCGTTCGAGATCGACGCACCTGCATGGGGTTCTGGATGGAGCACCCCGCCGGCAGAAGACCCCTTCCTCGGTGTCGGTGCACCCCTTGACCTCGAGGATGGCATGTTCGGCTTCGACCTGCCGCGCTCGCGCTCGGTCAGTCCATCGATCGACACCCCGTATGGCCGTCGTCGCGTGCGCATCGCGCTCAAGAGCGCACCGGCCGGCACTGACGGTGGCGAGTGGGAGATCGAGCTCTGCTAGCCAGCCTTCGCTTCGGCTTCGGATTCGACATTGTTATTGCCTTCATAAAACCCCATTCTCAGGTGTTTAGTCTACCTGTTTGTCCCATTCTTCCGGACTTCCCCTACCCCACTCTCGTCTGTACACCTCCGGAAGGCCTACTGTATCTCGCTCTGCTAGTGGAATTCTCCCTGTTCCTCTCATACCCCCAACGAATATCCCCTATAACACCCCTAGCATACGTCTATTTCACCCGCCGCCGTCGTTCCGCACTCCCGCACCACACTCTCTAACGCCCTGCTTTTATCGCACGACGGCGGTAATCCGCTCCGCTCTTCGCTTGTATATATATGCCTTCCCCCTTCCCCCTCCTACCTCGCTCGCACCTACATACATACTGCGTTCTGTTCTGTTTGATCTGATCTGCTGTTTTTCAACCTGCTGTTGGATCGAGTCTATGCCCCATGCCCCCCTCCCACCCTCTTCCTTCGTTTATCCCAATGCAATCATCCCACGCACTACATACATACATACACCCCATCATCGTCCCATACTCCCCCGTACCATCGTCATCATACTCGCCCACCCTCCCAAAAATGCCTGCCATACTTCACCCCGGCGGCTGTACTGTACCCGCACTTTCTCGGCCCCACACGTACTATTTGGGATTAGTCCACACCTTCCTCCCTCCCGCCATCTTCCCCGCATCTTTGCTCCTCTTCCGCCTGACGCTGTGCACTTGACTGAGTACGGCTCTGCAGGAGAGGATGATGTGTGTGTGGTGGGGGTTCTTGTTTATAGGCGTTTCTTGCCTTGGCACTTTTTGGTTGTTTTTATCTTGTCGATATTATCGCACACCCCCGCTCTTACGCAAATGGAATTTGTTCGTAGACCCCTCTGTTTAGGTGTGATCTTTGTGAGGAGAAGATTCACTCAAGGGTGAGCAAGGCCAGTAACAACACCATTGAACGTGAGTTTGACGTTAGGTCGGAAAAGGTCACTGAGGGTCACTGAGGTACATAAGCACGAGGTGGCGAGCGGCATCGCGTTCTCACAACTCCGTGCAGGCCCATCTACTTACCACCATCGACGAGCTTCGCCTCCCTCTTCGCTGGCGCGACCCCTGGGGCTTATGCATTCGCTGGAAGAAGCCTTACAACGGTGGCTTGTCGATCATTATATGATTCGATTGTAACGCAGCGACGAGCAAAACAAGAGGTAACAAAAGCAGTGAACACAGCAGAAGCCAATCCACATACGGGAGGAGAGATACGCTCGGAAAGGTACGGAAAGGATACACGCCGTCATCTACTTGCGGGCTTTCTTCTTCGGCTCATCTGAGTCTGAGTCGGATGCGAACGGGTCTCCAGCAGGTTTCCGCTTCAGCTTCGGACCAGATTTCGTGGCCTTGGCTTTCGACGCCGGCTTCGTATCCTTGGTAGCGTCATCGGCCGCAGTGGTGGCTTCTTCTGCTGTGGTGGATGACACGTTCTTGGCCTCAGAGAGTTCGTTGAAGTAAGCTTCCTTTAATGCCTGCAACTCGTATGAGTGTCAATCCAATAAACGACCTTCGAGACTTACCTTGATCTCCGTGTCGGGAAGGAGAGCCGTGTTCTTCCAGACCTGTCAGGATAGGTCAATCACCGATCTCATAGTGAAGCAGATAGGACTCACGGTGGACTGAATGCCGCTAGGGTGCTTGCTATCAAGGCCTACATAGTTACATATCAAGTCAGTACCCAGGACTGATGGCATGCTTATACTCCGCACCAATGGACGTGTATAGGTTCGACTTTACACCGTTCGGAGCAATGCCGTGCTGACGAAAGAGTACGCGTAGGACCTATATGAAGAAGTCCTTCAGATCATGGGCAATGCGCCTAGGAAAGTCGGCGTACCTCAGTCACGGCAGTCTGGTCATAAACGTCAGGAACGTATATGCAGAGAACATGCTGAGAGTTGTGCGTATCCACAACGGGACAGGTTGCAACTTTCGCGAGGTAGGAAGCAGTCTTCGCTAGCGGGCCATCAACGAGAGACTCTGTAAGGTAGTCAGAGTCGACACTGTCCTCGCCGGTCATGTTTCGGTACCTGCAACACTCTTCCAAGTGGCGTCAACGCGCTCGTTTGGGCAGAATACGAGTCTGTAGATCCTTTGAGCGTATAGACAGTCGAGGAAAAGATACTTCCGTACATTTTGCCAGATACATAGCCGTGCTTTGTCGATAGCTCTTTCAGGCGCTCTGAGGCTTGAGCTTGTTCCTACGATGAGTCTGAGTCCACGGAGATAGCAAAGAATACTCTATGCTGACCAGCTCTCGTAGCTCCTTCTTGCTCTTCGTACCCTTCTTCTTGTTTGAACGTATGGGAATGTCGGGATCATCCTGGGAAGCCGTTCAATGGTGCATTCGCAGACGTGCTTGCCGATGAACACACCTGAATCTTCTGAACTTTCTCCTGAACCTCTTCAACTAGACACATTATCAAATATCACGCCTACAGAACCAAAGTTCTGGCACATACCGAGTACCGTAGCCTCCTCCACTGCTTCCGCAACGTTCTCATCCGTTCGCGCTGGCGCACGTCCACTTTGAACCCAGATCCACTGCAAGCTTTAGCGAATGTAGTGAATGACGCCCTTCCAAAGCATCACATACAGGTTTCGTTCCGTCGTCTTGAATCATGGATGGTTTGTGCTTGAGGACATGCAATTCAGGACGCGTCTAGTCGACTGGTGAAGACGCGTACTTTCGAGGTAAACTCGGTAATTGAAGTCTCGGATGTGGGAGACCACATATACGGGTAGGATCCTTGAGGCTTTTCATCCTCACTCTTAACATCCTTGACTGACATCCTGGAGATACAGAGCGTGATACGTGTAAGCAGGACAAGGTTGTGGTTGGAGTTGAGAACGCGACGCAACGCGTCGCGTCGCGTTCGTTGCAATACGGTCCACGTGGCGCGCGCCACTGATCCGAAGTCCCGAACTACCCTTCCCTGCCGTCCCCCTCAAGGAGCCGTTGGGCCGCACGGGAGACTTGTGCGGTACGGGAAAGGTGACGCAAGTGTGAAAGGCATGCACGCGTACTGAAAGTACAGTCTCGCTGAATCCTCTTTCGAGACGGGGAGGAGATAGCGTGAATATTCGATTTGAACTTCAGGACGCGCACCGTGTAAGCGATCATTGATGTTGGACGTTGAGAGCAGATGGCTGCTCGACGGCTTGTCTGCATCAACAGATCAATTCGGATGTGATGTGGGCAAGCGCTCCCGCGCCTCAATACCAGCTCGGTACATGACAGACACGTCCACTTCTTATACTGTACATTGAGATATTACATTTGAAAGAACCGATCCACGCTAACGAAACCCAATCTAAAGTACTTGCACAACCACCTTGTTCCTACAGTCTTCCGTACATCGCCGCCCGACGATGCTCATCTACGCGAACATACCGACTACAACACTCTGCATCTCACCGTCCCGGATAGCCTCATATATCCTGCTAACGTTCTCGCCGATGCTGGGAGAGTCGACACCAAGCCCGTTGGGGAACAGGGCGGCGTTCTCCGCGCCATGCATGCGGACGCCGAGCTTGACTCGCACGAACTCGTACAGCGGGCGCGTACGCTTGAGAATTTGTGCGCCGGGAGCGCGACCACGGCTGCCCTCGAGGTACTCACTGCGCAGAGTCTGCAGAAGGGCCGAGGCACGAGATGCAGAGGAGGCGCGGAAAGCGGCGATAGCGTCAAGCGGGCAGCCAGAGCCGGCAAGCGCGTCCAGAAGAACGGGCGCCGATGCAGCTGCAACGGCGATCATGCGCTCCGTGGCGTCCATGGTTCCGGTCGTATCAAGGGCAGCACGCATAGCTGGGAGTACTTGTGGGAGAAGTAGACCATCGGTGTTGGCATATGTGGAGAAGTGCGTGGAGAGCTCCTCGCGAACGATGCGCTCCAGACCCGCGTCAAAGTCGGCCTGTAGAGCACGAAGGTCGATGGCCTGGCACAACAGGTAAAGGTACGTTGCACTGAGCATGCTGAGGACTTCCGTGGCAGTGAGGGTCGCGCGAGCGGAGATAAGCGCGAGCGAGTTGACGGCCTGGTTGTGCATCTCAGCACTCTGTATGTGTGTGCTGACGGGGTTGGCGAGGTAGCCGAGTTCAGCGGTATAGGCGGCGGTAGCGATGTCCAGCCCCTTCGCATGGTAGTTCAAGCTTGGGTCGCTGGCGGCAAGAGAAGGCGGCAAGCCGCGGTTCATAGCAGGGTTGACGAGCTCGGTGCTTTGCGAGAAGAGCAACTTGCCGATAACCGCGAGGGCTAAGCGCGTCTTCTCCATCGCGCCCGTGACGGCCATAGCCTGGAAGTTACCGCCATGGTGCACCTCTCCGGTCTCGCCGTCGAAGAGAGGGTTGTCCGTTGTGCTATTGCACTCAGTCGTCAGCGTACTCAGTGCCGCACTGATGTCTTCGAGCTGCGGGCCGAGGAACTGAGGCGCCGTGCGAAGGGGGTAACGGTCCTGACGCAGTTCGCCTCGGTCCTCGTCGATTGAGACATCTTTCTCATGGCCGAACGAAAGAGGGCTGTTCTCAAGGAGATCCCAGATCGTACGCGCAGCCTCGACCTCGGACGGACGGCGTAAGGATGTTGCTGAATCAAGTGATGGGAAGAAACGCGCTCACCTGACCAGGGTGGGGGCGCGCGACTTCGTGGATGAACGGCGCGTAGTTGGCGCGTACACCAAGGAGCGCCTCCGTCCCGAGAGCTGTGAGTACCTGTGCAAGTAGTGCCAGGTGTGCAGCATCGTGTGCCACTAGAGCGCCTAGTGCAGCACTGAACGCCGTCCCGTTCATAATGCCCAGGTGTTCCTTGGCGAGCAGCGGAAGTGGTGCAAGTCCAGCTGCCGCGAGCGCCTCTGGCGCGCGCTGAACTTCACGACCGTGCGCAGTGCGGGGCCCCGTATAGACGCGGATCGTGGGGTTACCGGTGATAGCGCCCGCGATGTACGATAACGGCGTCAAGTCTGTACAGAAGCGGAACGTGAACAGAGGATCATGAGCGTCTGTCACTCATACATAGAAGTTCAAGATAAGATACGTACCACCAGAAGCTGAGATGCTGCCACGCAACGGAACAAAGGGCGTTATGTCTTCGCGTAAGAGAGCGGCCATGCGCTCAAGAAGCTCCCAGCGAACCGCTGAGTGGCCGCGAACAAGTGAGTTGGCGCGAACGAGGACTGCACCGCGGACCCATGCCTCAGGCATAGCCGTTACTGCGAACGAGTCAGACAATGGAAGGACATCGTGGATACGCGGTGCTGAGGGTAAGATGCCGGTGTGATGGTGCTGAAGCAGCGCATGGCCAAGTGCGATCGTGTTGTCCGTGCGGGTGTCGGCTACGTTGATGGTCAGACTTTACCACGAGGAAAGTAATATACTGTATGTACCACTGCCACCAAAGCCGGTGCTGACCCCGTAAACACTACGAGCAGCAGCAACCGCATCGACAATAACCTTACGGCTCTTGTCAACGCGCGCGCGAGCTTCAGGCGAGTCATCGAGTGCCACCCCAGCGCTGTAACGCGCGGTGGCGACGACCGCAGCGATCGAGAGCGACTGTCCGTCGACAACGATGGTCTTGCCGGATCTGTATATCATGTACATTAAGCATGAGATCCAGTAGGCAAACGACGTGACGAACTTGTACTGCTCAAGTTCGCGCCACTGCTCGATGAAGCGTGAGACGAGGTCCGTCGGCGCGCGCTGCGTCTTGTACCCAGGCTCCTTGTGTCCGTTAACCTCAGGCGCTCGCTTAGCGCTCTGCATGTCGACGTTGCCGTTCATCTTGGCGGCAGTCGCAGCGGGCACAGTGGCGGGAGTGTAGGAGATGTTGAGATCTGCGGTCATGGTGGCGTGTGACGAGCTTCAAGTGTTCGAGCTCGTGGAAGCTGGCGGTGATGAGGTATCGCGATGAAATTGGGGAGGGAGGATCGCGGCGAGATGAAGATCCGGGGAAGCCAACAATGTTCGACTTTGAGTCTGAAGGGGCTTTATGTTCCGGCCGGATTCATGACCTGTAATGCGCGCATGACGCCGCCGTCTGTTCGGTTGCTGCTCTTCACGGATAGGATCGCATTCGGTATAGAACATGGCCTGGAATCAGATATGAACTTGAACATGACGCCGTGGAATCGTAGAACCGTTCGCTGAGCGTCTGGGAAGGTCTCAGCAACAGTAGTTGATGATGATTCAGGCGAACGGGACGACTGCGAGCGCGTAAACCCGCAAGGTACGCCCAACCAATGAGTAAGTAGATGGGCCTAGTGGGACAGCATGGAAGGATATGATACGGCCGCCTTCAAGCTTAGCCTCGCGCATCGAAGGCAAAGGCTTTCCCCAGACTTGGGATCTGCGCACACGTCGTGGTTGCTGCCGACCCTCAACTCGAACCGCAGTGCCACAACAGCTTCTCATCTTCCCACGCTGTCTTGAAGCAGCGTCTCTTCGTCGTTCTCAAGTAAAGCAGGAAATGAGTGGTATAGTCTGAGTGTGCGTACATTCTCTTATCTAGATAACAATGATAGTGTATGAAAGACAAGCGACATCCTTCCAGAAATCCAGGCGCATGAGGTATGGGGTAAATGGTACGGAGACCCGTTCACCGAGCAGTAGCTCGCCGGGCGGATCTTAGATCAACGTGTAAGAAACACCACGCCGTACGATCTGTCCCATCCAACCAACACATGAGCTCAGTGAACACGCTACCCATGACGCATCTGACGCACCAGCAGACTAAGTTTCAGCGCGCAGGTCGAGCCTGTAACAGGCCGACGGGCGACTACAGCTTCGCCTTTACGGGCCGCTCGGCCTTCGCGCGCTCCCTGAGCTCGCGGCGCAAGATCTTGCCTGCTGCGCTCTTCGGGATAGCGTCAATGAAGACGACCCCACCGAGAAGCTGCTTGTGCTTCGCGACGCGCGACGCGATGTATTTCACGAACACATCTGGCTCCGAAGTGGATTTTGGCGCGCGTACGACGTATGCGCGCGGAAGCTCGTTGCCAGAGTTGTCTGGCGCTGGGATGCCGATGACAGCAGCGTCCATAATCTCAGGGTGGCCGAGAAGAAGATCTTCGAGTTCAGCGGGCGATACTGCGACGGACTATTAATGTCTGCGGCGTTCAGATAAGCAAGCGCGCGTACCTTGGAAGCCCTTGTACTTGATGAGCTCCTTCTTCCTGTCAACGATGCTGAAGAAGCCCTCCTTGTCGATGATGGCAACGTCACCCGTCTTGAGCCATCCGTCCTTCGTCATCGTATCCTTCGTCGCCTTCTCGTTCTTCAAGTACCGCTTCATGACGATCGGGCCGCGAACCCAAAGCTCGCCTGGCTCGCCGACCTTCGCGTCGACGATGTTGCGCTCGTCACTTGCGATGAGACGCGCCTCAAGGTTAGGAAGTAGCTGGCCAATGGTCGTGGCTTTTCCACGGCGCGCGTCGGGGAAGCACACAAAGTGGCTAACGGGGCTAAGTTCCGTCATCCCAAAGCCCTGTGTGATAGTCACGTCGGTGCCAAGGCTTTTGAGGCGCTTGTCGAGAATGGAGATGAGTTCGCCGCTCAAAGGCGCTGCGCCGGAGACGATCGTTTTGAGTGTACGCAAGTCGTGCTTTGCTGCTGCCGGGTGATGCACGAAGGCGAGCGCGATGGGCGGGACAATCATGGCACGCGTGATGCGATACTCCTCGAGAGCACGGAAGAAGACATCTGGTACGAATTGCGGTACGACGGCGACGGCTGCGCCGAGGAGCAGCGGGTTGAGTACAAGCATGACGAGGCCTACGCATATTCGTTAGCAAGATGCTCAGCCAACTGCACGACACGGTAGGAGATGGGCATTGCAAGCGCCGGAAGAACGTGGCCGGAGCCTCGTGCTTCGCAGCAGCGTGCGAGCGGGCCGTGTGGCGCCGATCGTGCCTCAAGCTACCAGGGGCCACAACCCGGAGCCGTCACGAGCGTCGGGAAGGTTATTCAGAGCGGGACTGACCGTATACGTGGAAGAAGGGGAGGACGCCAATGAAGGTGTCGTGCTTGCCCCAGTCGCTAACCGCGTTGAGCAAGGAGATGTCACTCGACAGGTTCCGGTGCGTCGTCTGTAAAGGCAATCAGCACCGACCAGATCGCAACCAGGCGGCCATTCAATTGAAGAACTGCACTGACCTCGACACCCTTCGGACGGCCAGTCGTCCCAGACGAGTAGCAGACAACAGCCGTCTCATGCGAGCGCTTGCCGTCGAACGGTTCTTCCTGGCTGAGTGCCTTCCCAGTGATCAGGCTCTTCAAACCCCGGATGCCGTTTGCGCCAGTGCTGTCGAGGTCCATGAGGACCATCCGCGCCTCCGCGTCCTTCTTGCTGACTCCGATACTCTCGAACATCTTCTGCGCAACCGGCAGCAACGCCGGGTGCACGAAGAGAAGCCGCGCGCCGCTGTCCTTATACTGGTGCGCGAGCTCAGGCGGTGTGTAGCTCGCGTTTGCGAGTGTGGCAATACCGCCAGCAGCAACAATGCCAAGTAAGACAACAGGCCATGCAATGGAGTTCGGCGAGAACACAAGCGCGACTTCGCCCTTCTTGAGCTTCAACTGGTTGCGCGCACTGTATCCGACCTGCAGAGCCATAGAGCGCACATCCGCGCGCGAGAGTACGCGCTTGGTCAAGACGTCGATGTAGGCCGGACTGGCGGGGTCATGGTTGCCAGAGAAGAGGAAAGTGAAGAGCGAGGTTGATGGCAGCTCTTGCCTCGGGTGCGGGGACGTGTAGATCACAGGAGCCATTGCACGCAGTAAGTAGAAGTAGACTTGACAGAAACGAACGAGAGGGAGAGCGAAAGCTAGAAACCGAGGGCGGAGCGAGCTGCTCGGGCTTTATGGGCTTCCGTCCCGAATCGCACGCGCGGTACCGTCGATTCTCCTTGGACTGGACCGCGACCGCTGCCGTATGCTCCCATCAGGCTAGCCATCATTCACGAGCTGCAGCTCTTGCCGGTGCGCAAGCTGCAAAAGATTGAACGGAGTTCCGGAAGAACAACTTTGTGTGCAGAGATCTTGTCGTGGGCGGAGGTTTGGAGGAACCGACGCCCGACTCGGACGACGCGGCCGGGGAAGTGCCCGTGCAGAGGTTGCCACTTCCCACCACCATGGGCTGACAGCATATAGATATTCTTTGCTGGACACCCATAGACTATGCCCGCTATAACGTGTGTGGCAACTGTACTAGGATTGAGAACAACGCGAAGACGCCCGTCTTCCCGAGAAGCTGATAGCCGTTTCGGGGTTTTCGGGTGCTATCACCGTCACGCGCCCATCCCTTCAAACAATGGTCCCTGCTCTTTGTTTCGAGCTACATCCCACAAACGTCCTACGCGACATACACTGTGCTCTGCGCCGCGGTCTGCTTAGGTGCAGCTACAGAGCCACCGAGATGTCGCCTTCTGTCCACCACCCAGCAGCGACGCGCAATGGACGAGGCACACCTTCAGAGAATGGCGAAGGCTGAGCTGGAGACTCTCGCCCGGGTAGGCAGATCTCCTGCGATCGGACGTATACTCATATAGTACTCCATACTCATGACTTCTTTAGGCCAAGGGTATGGGAGACGAGGCCATATTTCATCTCAACAAGCCACGACTGATCGAGGCGTTCCTCGACCATTTGCAGACTTTAGACTCTGAGTCTGTACCACCTGATGTCGAGTCCGGTCGCGTGACGAGGTCTTCGAGGCGGCCGTCGACAGTGGTAATTGAGGCTGCTGTCGACGGTAATATGAAGAGACGCCGAACTCGGCAAGCTAGCCGTCGCAGTTATGGTGGCAAGAAGAGGCGTGTTGAGGATGGTAACGTCGCTGACGCAGAAGGCCATGACGAGCCCGTTGAAGGTCTCAGCAAGCTGGGGCCCGTCGATGCTCCGACTGACAGTTCCAAAGATATTTGTCTTAAACAGGGCTACTTTCATGTCACGGCTGCCGGCGAAGATGTTGAGAATCAGACCAACGGCGACAAGGCTATACCTGGAGAATTGACCGTCAACGGGGCTTTCACCGTACCCGACGATAGAGCAGCATCCTCTACCGACCTCGACCCAATCGCGGCGAATACAGAGACGGACGATGCAACGCTCCTTACTCGGCGTGGTGAAACAGTCTGCTCGGCTGATGGACTGTTGAAGAGTCCACGTTCCATCCGCGGTTCTGAGAAGGGTGACGGTCAGGTCGCAGCCAATTCAGAACGTCGTTCACCCGTCGATGATGAATCTACCAAAAAGCTGTACGACATCGCTCGTGATAACATGGAGACGGCCGGTACTCTTCTAGAGCTACTTGACTCCGACTTTTCATCTGTATCCTCTGCACTCACAAAGGCATTCACGACCGTAGACGGATCGTCGAGCCGCGCAACTATCCTTCATATCCTCTCAACTACAAGCAATGTTCTCATCAAGATCTCCTCTACGATACGCACCGCATCTCCCACTACCACCCCCTTCATACACGATCGTTTCCATCCGGATCTCCAGGAGCTATCCCTCGCTCAGTCAGAACTCTCGAGCCTCACGAGCATCATATCGAGAGGACTCACAAGTGCGCACGCAATGAAGCGGAAGTGGACGAAGGGTTATCGATGGGAGAAGGTCTTTGAGCTTTTGCATACGCTGATGAATGGGATGGATGCTGCGAAGACACATATCTCAATGTGCGTGCGCCGTTATTACGTCGCGATGGGGAGGCTAAAGTGCATTATGACAGGATGACCGATGCAGAGGATGAGGTCAACAGCAACTTGACTAACGTGAACTCAGACTCGGAGGACGCGACTGATGGATATGAAGATGGCGGCCATGTAGCTGAGGATGTAGAAGACAGTGATGCATCCCCGGACCATGAAGCTTGCCTTGATCAGCCAGACAAATCAGGAGAGACCGACGACCGGGCACGAAGCGTGGGGCGCGCAAGGAAAGGGTCTCGTGTGAAGGACAGGGCAGATGGACCACGCGTATCCTCTCATATGCCTGGGTTGGACGTACTAGCGTCGCGGACATGAAGAAGTGGGCATCTTCATGTAAAGTCACGGGGGCGCGTAGTAATCGAGTTCGGCTTCTCGGCTATGCTCCACTCCGCACGCGCCTCCAGCAACTGGCCTCTGACCTCCATGTTCACCCACTACCTTTCACCACGACATCGCTCATATTGCTATTGTCTGTCGATTCATGATGTATAGATTGGACACCGCCCAATTGCAACGCCTGTGTGTCATGAACAGTTGCAGAGCTAGTCTTGAATGTAGCATTGGCCATACGCGCCTGAGCTCGCCATCCTGTACCATACGGAAATGCCGGGGCCGAGCTCGGTGTGTGCCTGAATGCCATTGCCCAGAGCTATCCGCCTATTTTGTATCTGGTAACACGATAACCCTTTTCACTGTGCTTGATAAGTGCTCCATAAGCCTGTGCGGGAATCCCGCGCCCCGATAACTTGCGCGGCGCCCCGGAGACCAACGTCTTCCTCCGGCAATATCTGATCAAATGGACTGAGTCCTACCGCTCAGGGCCTGCTCGCGCCTACATATCCGTAGTGCCGCGGGATTGGCCATACGGGAATCCCGCCTGTCGTTGTCAGCCAGGCACAACTTGCTAGATTGTGTCGCTCGAACCTCCGGAGTCGACTTGCGGTGTCAAGTTCATTGAATCATTGACTTGTCATTGAGCGATAGTAGCTCGGGTCACAGCGAGTATATAACGGGCTGCGTACTTCCCGAGCAAATGCTAACACCAACGTACATCTCTCAACAACTCCTACTTCTCAGATACTCACTACAGAATCATGTCGGGTCTCAAGAACTTCGCTCTTGCTGGCGTCGGTCGCATCGGCACATTCATCGCGGATGAACTCCTCAACGCTAAGGTCGCTGGAACCGTCGACTCAGTTGTCGTTCTCACCAGGGTATGATTCATCGCTCACCTGTGTAATCGTGTCAAGACTGACGACAAGCTCAAATACAGGACTCCACTACCGACGAGGCAAAACGCCTTTCCGCCCGCGGTGCAGACGTCAAAGCAGTCCCTGCATACGACGACGTGGCGGCTGTAACCGCCGCGCTCAAAGGTGCCGACTGCGTGATCAGCACGATCTCAGGCGCGGCGACGATGTTACAGCCCGCACTCGCAACAGCCGCGAAAGAAGCTGGCGCGCGCCTCTTCGTGCCCTCCGAATGGGCCGGTGTCAGCGCGGGCAAGACAAGCGGTATTCATGCACCCAAGGCTGCGCTCCTTGGGCATCTTGACAAGATTGGACTTCCGTATACGCTCTTCTGGACGGGATTGGCTGCGGACTTCGTTTGGATTCCGTGAGTTACTGTATGGTCATACTCGTGAACGTGAAGAACTGACGATGGCATAAGGCTGCTCGATCTTGGCCTCTCTACGGGCAAGGTTATATTCGGCGATGACGGTAACGCGCCTGTGTCATTCACGTCGCGTACTGACATCGGGCGCTATGTCGTGCACGCATTGACCGCGTTCCCGCTTGAAGAGCTAGCGGGCAAAACGTTCCGTATCGAGGGCTCACGCCACGTACGCACATCCCCTCTTCATACACGAACTCGTGCTAACCTCGTCGTGCAGAGCTTCAACGAAATCGTCCGTTTGTACGAGGCGAAGCACCCTGGAACCAAGGTCGAAGTGCAGTACACGCCGCTCAGCGAGCTCAAGTCGCGCATCGAGGCCAACCCTTACGACGTCAAGAGTACGCTTCAGCATGACTGGGCGCTCGGCGAGTGGGCCGTTGGAAACGACGATAACGGGAAGTGGCCGGAGTGGAAGCCCGCGCCGGTGACCGATTTCTTCTGAATGTAGTAGAATTGTCAAGTATATCTCTCATAGTACAACCGACAACATGCGGTATAGCGCGACACGATACGTAGAAATAAGTTACTTTCAATATCTGTCATTCGATAGACGAGGTCTGAGATCTGACCTATCGACATGGAAGTAGGAGGCAAAGCTCGGGCGTGTCACGGCTAGGGAGCCGCGCCACACGCCGCGGAACTCATTTATCTTGCCTTCCACCACCATCTCGCCGCGCGGCTGCGCGGTCTCCATGCATAATGGGCCATGGCACAAAGAAACTGCATTTGAAACGGACACCCGCCGAACAAGCAGAACACGACCTGCGCAAAGCTCGAAAGGCTGCTCGAAAAGCTGCCCGCACAGCGCCGTACGCCACACGCCATCAATCCGAGTCTGACGACGAATACGGTCCACAACCGGCATCTTCCGCGAATACATACCATGGAGACAACACAGATGTGTTTGCGCGCGTAGAGGAGGAGCGATTTCGTGAGAAGTTGGCAGAAGCGATGGGCGAAGATGAATATGTCCATGGGCTGCATTCGCGGTTCGAGGCGTATGATGCAGGAAGAGTGCCTAAGCGCTGGCAGGGTTATGATGCAGAGGCAGAATCTGTCAATCCAGCACTTATGGAAGAGGAAGAATACGCGGAATACATCAGGTCCAGCATGTGGAGGTGAATATATCCATAGTTTTTCCTATTTCTGTTTGCGCTGACAGATGCTCTCAGGAAAAAGAACGCCGCCGTTTTGGAAGAGCAACAGCGTATGAAGGCGACGCAAGCTGCTGCGCAAGCCGAAGCTCGTAGGAAGCTAAAAGCCAAGGACGATGCTAAGGCGGCAAAGCGACGAGAAAGGGCTCTACGACGCGTGGACGGCGCCAGAGACGCTTATGAGGCGGCATGGACCAAGCTCTCACATCCGCCGACGGACTCTCAACCGGACATGCGAATATCGGACATACCCTGGCCAGTATTCGATACTGTGAATGATGCTGCCGCGTTGACGCCAGATGCACTATCGTCCTTCTTGCTCCCGGAAGGCGTCAATCGCAAGGAGAAGCTACGACAAACGATGCTTCGGTTTCACCCTGACAAGTTCGAGGCACGCGTACTGGTCAGAGTCATTGAGGCGGACAGGGAACGCGTACAAGAATGTTTAGGAGCCGTCGTTCAGGCTGTGGGCGACCTCATGGCTACGACGTAAAGGCAGGCTATTCGGAATTTACGTCTGTAGCGGGACCACGCAGAAGGGTGCAACGCTTTCCGATGCCCGTCTGGCTATTACTGTAGGTGAACAAATTCCTCTCAATATCAAGTCTTTCTTGTCACTTATAATACATGCAGACAGTATATCGTCAAGCTGTTACTACGGCGCGTCGCCAACTCTCTATCGCGGATGGCTGTTTTGACGTCGTCTGACGAGCCTCATCACCATTATCATCCCTGGCATGGGCCACTGGCACGCCTGATGGAGGTGAAGGCAATGCGTACGCAGGCAACGGAGGTGCCGGAGACGGCTCGCGGTTTGAAGGTGGAGGCGGCGATGCCCGTCGCGATGAGCGACTTCGACCGTGCATGCGCGCTAAGGCCCTGATGGAACTGGGTTGCTCCGTGGGCGGCGATGTGGGGACAGCCTGGACATCATGATGTCCACGGCGATGTGGGATGGTGGTATTCGATGTCTACGACCTTGTCATCAATACACACGATGTTTAAACGAGACACTGGTCAATCTTACCTGCTGCGTGTCACTGGCACGCAAAGCTGCCTTCTTTTTCTGTCTGTTCTTGCTTCCCTGCGATGGTCAACGCGTGAGTGTTGCAGTCCCCTACGTCCTCTGCACGTCGACATACCCAGAATGAGAGCGGTTCGGGGTCTGGGACCATAGGTCCCGCGGAGAGATACATCTGAGCCATAGCCATATTGATGAAGATCTCGTATGTTGCAGTTGAAACTCTCCTCCCACCCCATTCCTATACTTATAAGGCGCTCTCGATCCCGGACCGCTCTGCTCATGTCATATACGTTGCAATTCCGTCAGTACATTGACCATCGCGGTCGTCAAGGAGCCCAATTGTCACAGATGTCTGCTTACAACGGTTTCCCGCCAGGCTTTTGTCTGCATGCGTATACGGGTCCTGGTTCACAATTGAGATGTACGGGTGTACCTAGCACGTCTCATCGCTCGACTCACAAGTGGCGGGCATAGGTACCCGGCGTATCCTGGGCGGCAGAACAGGGCGCAAGCAGTATCGTGCGTCTCGCTTCCGCTTCCCACCTTCATTGTCCTGCACATCTCCTTGTTGTATTGGGGGATCACCTTCGCCTCGAATCCAGAGCTGGAGATTATGGGTGAACGTATGACACGATAGCGACAGTAGGCGCCTCACAATGTAAGCGGACCTCTACCAGCGGCTCGCTTGCCACTGCCAGTGAGCGTCGAGAAACAATCGAGAAAGTACTGGTCGTCGCTCGGGCCGGGATGCGATCACCTGACGAACGCGCGAAGTTCGAGCGCGAGTCGCGCCCAACCTTGCCTCACGCCCTCATCGCGCCACACACCACCCGCCAGTCTGCCGCCGAATCCACTCTTCCCCGTCACCAACTAATTCTTGTCTATGCATTGATGGAGAAAGATGACGCTTTCTGGTTCCCGGACTTATCTGATGCCGAGATCATGGACGCCCTTGACGCTTGGGGTATCAGGGTCACGCCGAAGCTACTCGCGAAACCTACGGAGGACTTCACTAAACTTGTATATGGAAAATGTCTAGAGATGGTCTTTGGAATAACGTCAGAGATGTTGGAGGAGGCTGCGGATACTTCGCTCATTGGAATCCATTCGGAGAACATGGTGCGTACTCTGCTTATGTTAATTGACGGAATATTGAAGACTGCGCTCAGGACTCATGTAGGGCAGGAGCTGTCATGAATTTTATTGTATATCACATGTACGCTATCCCTCGTCTCTTGGTTTATTCTCACTGAAATCTCGTCTAGGGCTCGCTTTGCCTCCGCGGCCAAAATCGCAGACTTCAGTGCGAAAGACGTCGTGGTACCGGACACGAAGCGAACACGGAATATCATATCTGCATTTGTTAACTTCGTCAACTTCTACGAGCAGAATGCCCCCATTGCGACGGAGTTACAAGAGCGAAGCGGCCAGTTCGTACAAGAGCGTGACCGAATCATATCGGAGGGTGACCGCATAAGGAGTGAACTGGCAAGCATAGAGTAAGAAGTCTGCTGTATCTGTATCTGTGATGTCTTCTTATATTGGTATTTCAGGGCGAGAAGAGCACAGGACGAGCCCCAAATGGAGGTGCTTCGCATAGAGAATCAAACTCTCACGGCCAACGTGAAGGTACAACAAGGGTACTTCGACCGTTCACAGGCCGACATGGACAAGCTCAAAGCGGAGAAGGCCTTGCATGTCCAAGAGAAGGTGCGATCATATGAAATATACGCCCACATGCGTTATTAGTGCTGATTCGCCATTCGCAGGAGAGCTTGTATCAGGATATGTCACTGGTATCAGACGCTCTTTCTCGCATGCGCGCTCGAGTAGTCAAATCACCAGAGCGCATCAAGCGTAACATCGGTCTCATGGGTAACTCCCAAGCCGAAGAGAGGCGCACACTGGGCAGTATGGAGGACAAGATTCGAGATCTCCAGGCCAAGGCGAATGCACTCTTGTCCATCGAGAAGGTTCGTGTTGAGCTGTCGGACCATAAAATTAGGCGCTCACATCCTCACATAGGATATTCGAGATTGCGTAGAGCAGGTTCTCGTGGTTCGCAAGGACATCCAGACACTTGATCGCAATGTGCACGATCTCGACGAGACCAAAATGGCGCTCGACGCTCGTCGCAATGCGCGTACGGAACTTGAGCTTCGGCAAGAGGTAAGTGGTTCGCGATGTACTCATATACAAAGATGTTGACATCATCGAAGCGCGCTCAACGGCAATTCGAGTATGCGGTTGCCAGTCTCGAGAAGGTGCAACGCGACATCCAGGAACACCGATCCTCCGGCCAACAACAGATCGAGCGCCTGCAACGGGAATACGAGCAAATGGCCGCTGCTCGTCATGAGAACGACAAGGAGGTTGACGAGCTCCGACAGAAGGCCGAAGCTGTCGAGATGAGGGTTCGTTATTGCGTTATCGCTAATACTCCCTACTCTGACCTCTCTATCATTTCAGGCGGCGGAACATCTCAAGCAGAGCAACGTGACGTTCAATCGCCTTCTTGCCGCATATAGACAAGTCCGGGCCCAGAACGGTGCGCCGCATGCACCTCTACTCTTCCATCATTCTTCTAACATTGGGCGCAGAGGTATACATGGAGACGCTATCAAACAAGCTGGGGATCAAGAAGTCGTCGAGAAGATGAATTGGCGCTCGAGAGGTTTTCTGTTGTATCATATACCCGGCTCTATACCCCTGGCATGCTTGATTTCACGGGCTTTAGGTTGTACGTTGGATTTCGGTACTGTACAACAGTATATCACACTATAGTTTCACTGTAATATACATGATCATAAACGCACCAGGCGAACGAACGGAAGAGGGATACAAAAGAGTGTCTACATCCACACTGCTACTACTCCAAGAGTAACCGTGCACCGCAAAGAGGTTTACCACCCGAAAGTCTCGCTGGCGATCTCAACGCCACCGACCTGCTTCCAGAGCGAATAGTCGAGACCACCGAGAGCCTTATTGATCTGCTCGCCAAGAGCAGGAGGACCGCAGCACGAAGCGACAACGCCCTGCGCCTCGGAGCGTCCGCCGGTCATAGTGGAGTCGAGCGTACGCTGGACGGTAGCCTTGAGCGAGCGGGACATATCGGGCCGACCCGCGCGGAGGTAGAGGCCTTCGGGTAGAAGGTCGAGGTCGGGCATCTGGGCGCGGCTCGCGCGGGTGTAGTGCACCGTCATTTGGACGCGGAGGAGAGTGCCGTCGGGTGAGAGACGGGGGCGCAGGAGAGGGCGGAGAGTTGGGAGGAGCTCAACGAGGGAGTTTGCGTCTCCGACGGACCACACGACCTCGATGGCGCGGGTGCGAGAGCGACCCTCAACGTGCTTGTTCACCAAGTCGTCCAGAAGAGAAAGGATAAAGGAGATGCCCGAACCGCCCGCGACGAGAAGAGCACCGGAGTACGCTTCGAACATCGTGGCAGCGTGACCGCTGTAAGGACCTTCCACAAGGCACTTGATACGGTGCGAGGTGGGCTGGCCGAGCTCAACCGTAGCCATCTTCTCGTCCACGCTGCGCTGGCCACCACCAGCCATCCTGAAGAGCTCGCGCGTAGACGACCCCTCCTTCTTGATAAGGAGCTCAAGACCGGAGCCGGCGGGCTTCGACGAGATGGAGAACGGACGCGTGCGAGCGAAGAGGAGAGCGATGATCCAGCCGAAAGCGCCGGAGTCGGGGTTGATGAAACGGACGCGGACGTGTTGACCGGCGCGGAAACCTTTCGTGACAGCTGGCATGTGGACGTGCGTCGTGCCATTGTTGAGGCTCGAGTGTGCAGTCACGTACGCGGTGGTTGCGCGAGTGCGCATAGTGCGGAGCAGGAGGTCGAAGCCGTAGACACCGAGGGCGGCGTAGATGTAGTTCCAGGTAACAGAATAATGTTGGTACAGCTGGGACGGCCATCAATATAATATCGTTTCGTAGCGATAGAAAAGCGTACCGCCACGCTGAGGCACGTGAAGCCCGCGATGTGGCTGAACAAGAACAAGGAGTAGCACTTTTGGCGAACGACCGAAAGCGAGCCAAGGAACAGAAGGTCCATGGCGCACATGGCCATCAAGCCATAGGTGAACTTGGGGATGGCGATGTCCTCGTAGAAAGTGCCGGCTTGCGCCCACTTGTAGACTGTGCGAACGTGAGCACAGGATGACCGTCTTGTAGAGCAAAAGACGCACTGTAGCCAAATCCGTGCAGGTTGGATGCCAGGATCGCCAGACGTCCACCAAAGCGATGGATGTAGTTAAGCTGAAATCAGCTATGAGCTGAGAACAGATGAAAAAACGATAGAAATGTACCTTCTCGTAGCCCTCACCAGACAGCCAGCTCAGAAGGTTGTTCTTGGTGGCAAGTGCAACAACGATCGGGATCTGCGCCATCGCGACGTATCCTGTGCGCTTCGGGTCTGAGAAGAAGTCGCTCTCATCGAAGGTCGCGAACAGAACAAGACCCATGTAGCCGCTGTAATGACATGAGCACAAGTCATGTGGCAATGTAAGGTGAGTCTTACAGATAGACAATGGCCTTCGCCAGTGTGATCCCGGGCAAGAATGGGTTGTTGAGCGCATAGACGATGGCCGGGTGAGTGTAGGTGAGCCAGCTGCGAACGCGCGGAGGCGCGCCGCTCGCACTCTGAGGCGCAACAGGTCGGGGATACTGGACGAGATGCGCCGTGGAAGACTCCGCAGAGCTGTAATGGCTGAACGCGCTATCGCTCTCCATGCCCTTCCCATTGAAAATCGGCCCCCTTCCGTTCCCGTACTCGCGTGCAGGCGCGCCCGTGTATTCGCCCTTCGACGGGCCGCGAAGGAACGCGGTGAAGTAGTGTGCCGGGCGAGCGAGCGTCGCGAGCATGCGCGGCAGCATCATGAGGACAAAGGCGCCGAAAACCATGATGAAGACCAGGTTGATGTAGTAGACGAGATCTCCGTCGTCGATCGAAGGAGCGTGAGCAGCAGCACCGCCGGCCTTGGCGGCGCCGCCAGCGGCAGAAGCGCCCTGCGCTCCGGAGGCAGCTGATCCAGCAGCAGGGGAGGATGAGTTGCTCGATCCGTACATCGAGGAGGCGTTTGTCGGCGCCTGGTAAGACATGGTCGAAGGTTACACTGACGAAAGGAAAAGAAAGGACAGGATGAGCGGGCGCTGTACAAACAGAGACGAAAGAAAGGAAGCGGGTTCTGGGCAAACGACCTGCGTGCGTTAGAGGAGCCGTTCGAGCGCGCGTTCGAGAACTTATATGCTTCGCCTCGGAGTTCACGCAAGTGGGCCGCACCATTGTCAGGCTGCGGATCAGACATTCATGGAAACTGGTCACAATCGGCGAGATAGACTTGGGCTGCGCTGTCCGTCCGAACAAACGCAAAAGGTACGGCTCAACTACGGAGGAACAACCATGCGCCACATTCCACCTCGAAGGGACCACTCGAAGGCATTTGCGACTGGCGGGCGCAGCGTGCCAAGGACGGAGACGCTATTTCTTGAACGACATCGATAAGCTCAAAGGGTAGAGTGGCCAATGGTGGACGAAAGAGTTAATGTAGAGGCACAAAAGTAGCGTGTTGTCCTTGCGCCTTGGTGCAGGACCGCCGCCTGACTGCTGCGGCAGCATATGTACCGTTGTTACGGGAGGGCCGAACGTCGGTATGATGTCACTTACCGGTATCGAGGGTCCTTTCGGCCCCCGTTACCAAAGTCTAGGTACGGTCTAGTCGTCCATGATTGGTTACCGATACCGCCGGCTGTCCAGCCCAATGGGAAGCTTGCCGCAACAAAGAACCTGGTGAAAGTGTACACAGTATACAGGTTCGACGCTATCGGGAGATACCAAGATGGAGAGGCTCCTCCGCGAATCAGCCTCGTCTTCTGCGCTTCGCCGGCTTTTGCGGAAGATCCATCAAGGGTGCACATTTTGGGCAATACCAATCGTCGTCGGGAGCCTCCTTCATCCCGAGGCATTCAAGATGGAACTGGGGCAGAGGTCAACCAGAGATGCCAGAGCTATTGCAGGAGAGCGCACCCAAGACCCATTTTCACAAGCATCTCCGTTGTCACACATGACCATCTGAGCGTACTGATGAGCGAACCAATCGGTTGATGAGCTGGCATTGAACGTACCGTGCCGCTTGAAGGGCGGTGGCAGACACAGTAGGACTCGTCGGCGGCGCCGTCAATCTGTGTATACTGTCCTTGGCCAAAAGCTGGGAGTCTGATCTTAATGCCCGTTTTCGTGCCATTTGGTGTGGGATGCGCGACGCGTGCGTTGGGCGGACGACCCCTCCTTTTCCTCCCTGGTGTCTTCGGGACCTCCACTTGAACAGGCTCTGGCGGTTCGTCGTCGGCCAGATTATTGGAAAGTACGGTGTACTGATTTGGCCGGTGCAAACGTGGAGCGACAACTCGTTCAGGTTGATATGAATGGCCGGTCTTGATTATCGCTTCCTGATCTTGAATACAGTACACTAGTTGACGAATGTGTCGCTGTATCTGAGAATAAATTGTCAGAATATTCTCACGCAGGTGGCTCGAAGGGGAGGAAAATACCATGCCGTGTATGGTCTCCGCCAGATTGATCTTCTCTTCTGACGTGCGCAGGATCTCATCAGTCAACCACCCGATACGTGGGAGAAGAGTCCGCGTAGCATCCCAAGATATTGGGGTCTCATCTATACTCATGATCGAAAGTCATCTTGACACCAGTAAACCTAGCCACTTACCGAAGTCCTCCTCGGGAGCTTGCGGCGCGGTGTCTGGCGGACCTGTGCCGTTTACGAGTCGGCGTTCCTGCTCCGTCGTGGAGGGCGGTTCGCCATTGGAAGGTCCCGCAACTGCATTCGTCTGTGAGCCCTCTGGTGCTTGGGTACGCCCAGCTTCTCCAGCTTCTCCTGAAGCTGTATCGGGGTTTGCTGGTTGAGGCTCCGCGTCATTCGTAGGATGAACGGGTGTTGGTGCAGCAGGATCGCTGGGTGCGGAAGTCTCAAGCGTGGCTTTCAAAGGAATCCCAGCGAGTTTGCTTCGAAGGTCGATAAACCTGTTGATAGCAGACAGCAAGTCGGAGGAATGCTCTCAGTACGCTGTGAGCGAGGGCGTTGTTTCACGTGACATACCGAACTCACGAGAGGTCTGCTTGTCCAGGTTGCGCATGAGCGTAAGTTGACGGTGCAGATAAAGTGGTAGTTGTTCGAGGGCTATAGTCTATAGCTCAGTGCACACGTGCGCGACGTAATATACATGGTGGACTAACCCTCGTGAAACTCCTCCCTGAACGATTCGAACAATGCTTCCTCCGCCTTCAACTTCTCCGCATCAATCTCCACCTCCACCTCCGCAATGCCGGCGCCGCTGTTTGATGTAGTCACTTCCTTCATCGTAGCCTCCGCAGAATTATTGTCGTGTCCATTGACGTGTCCGATCGTCGCGGCGTGCTCTTCCAAGCCGGCGGCTTCTGCTTCGGCCGCTTGCACGGTAGCTTCATTATTCACAGCAGTGTGCCGCCGTGACGCCCGTCTCTGTTGGGCCATATTATTTCCAAGTAAAGTAGATAGTCGAGCGAGTGAGCACGTGTGGTTGTGGTGGTTCGGAACCGAGTTTGATCGCGTGTTCGACGCGTCGCGTCAAACCCTAATACGCGCTCTAGGCGCGTTGTCTCTCACCACCACCTCGTCCAGCTGCCTCTCTGGAGCGTAGGCAGTTGTATAACCACTTCTTCCGCAATCGGACTTCTACTTGCTCATTGTCATGCCTCTGTTGAAACCCGCAGGGTCTATCATAGACCTGACACTCGACGAACCCGACGATGCTCTCGCCACAGCTACTAAAGTTCGAGCACAGGCAAAGGCGCTAACGGCTGATAGTTCCATCGAGATCCTAGACGCACTGCCTCCCATACATTTGAAACCCCACTCAAAGAAGCGCGCAAGGACACCGGCATTGCAAGAGTCGGATGCCAGTCCAGGCAAGCGACGCAAGACGGAGGCCGGTCACCGTATCGTGTTGTCCGACGCGGTGAGTGTGCCGACTGTGTCGATCAACATTCTCCGTGCTGACTTTCAAAGTCTATCATTGAGCTGTTAGATGATGATGCACCCGTTGCATCTGCCAGTAAGACGCTCAACGCGGTTGCTTCGAGTAGTCGCACCACCCAAACATTAGCCGCACATGTATCTGTCGAAGTCAACATTCCGTCCCCAACGACTCTTGTGTATGACTCGGTCGATCTGTTATCTGCGTGTACGACCAGTGACGAAGAGCTGGCGCGCCGTTTGGCCGAAGAGGAAGTCGCCTCGCACGCTGCAGACGAGGAGCTCGCACGCCGCATCATGGAGGAAGAACAACGGCAATACCTCGAGAGCCTACCTAGCAACCCGCACGACGAGGCTCTTGCTCGCAAACTCTTCGAAGAAGAGCAGCGTGAGCAGGAGAGACTGCGGAAAGCTGTCGACGCTAAGCAGGTTTGTGCCCATCATTGCGTTCACCGGTCCGCAGTCGCTGAGTCTACACCCAGGAGGGCATTGTCTACCGCGTGTCCGTCAATGTTGCCGACGGCACGCTCGAAGATGGGAGTCCGGCTCATCCTGATGACCTTGCGCGCTTCGAACCATGGAGACAGAAACTAGAGAACTCCGGCATCCAAGTCAAGAGATGTGAGTCGGAGTTCGGCGAGATTCATTGCGGATATCCGTACTGATTCGTGCCCAGTCCACTGGATTGTGAATTACGAACTGGAGAAAAAATTTGAAGGCTCTCGTGAGTTACTTGAGATTGTGACGGGCGAACCACCCCAGGAGCAGCATCTCTTTCATGGGACGCGACAGGCCAATATAGACTCGTGCGCCGCCATTTTCTTCCCTTGGGCTGACATCTCACATATCTGCCCGTAGGATATTGAGTTCCGGCTTCCGCATCGGTGGTATTGGTAACCACAAGGTTATCAACGGCACTGCGTTTGGAACCGGGATATATCTGGCGACATCAGCTCAGACGTCCATGCAATATGCTCCCGATGCAGACCGCATCTTCGCATGTAGAGGTTCGTCCATAAGCACCTCTTCCACTCGCAACGCTGATCGGGGTCGTCCTTCTAGTACTCCCAGGGCGCACTACCCCTCAACCTATGCATGGGGTTCCACCCAGCACTGTGCCAGGCACGGAAGAGTTTGAGAGCTATTGCGGTCCGAACGGGATATACGTCGTACGCTATGCAACTTTAGTGCTCCCTTGCTACGTGCGTCTCTTTTATCCCAATAGTGATACCGCTTCCTCATTCCAGCATCCTCTAGATGATCGAGTTCGAACGCCGTGGGTACGGGATGGGGTACCCTGGCCCATTCATTGGCGCAGGGATCGGAATGGCGGGCATGGCAGGGATAGCGGCTCCCGGACGGTTTGGCATGCCTATGGTGGGAGGCATGCCTATGGCGGGACCCGCTCTGTTACACGCGCTTCGTGCTAGGGGACCACCAGCCGGTTTACCACTATATCCACCAGGCTATGCGGGAGCCTTGCCCGTTCCACGACCTTTGGCCCCTGCGCCGCGCGGTAGGAAGGGCAAAGTGCGCCTTCGTTAGCTCAGTATGCCTCGTCGTAACTTATTCCTCACCGTGCTTTCGTCAATCCCAAGAACATATATATGTTTTCAATCTCTGTCGTATGTTATAAGCTTGGCTGTCATCTCTGTTGTCACTCTGCATATTATCACTCACTTCTTAAGCTACTGTTATCTTACTTATTGATTTTGGTATAATGCTCTCCCGCTTCGCGATCACATGCCCTCGGAAGTCGCGCGTCTACATCCCGCTCGACGCGTCTCGCGTTCCCGCGCGTCGCGCTTTCGCACCCAACTCCCCGTCGTCCCTTTTCTCCCACCCTCACCGTCTTCAAACCCCGAGCTATACCTATCAAGTCACGCTTCTTACTCGAACTACCTATGCCTCCTCGGAAGAACACCAATGCGGCCTCCCAGGGCGACGTTGACCTTGAAGCTCTCTTCGCCACGCAGGACTCATCCAGCAGCGACGACGCGTGAGTGCCTTTTCTACCCGCTATCATCGGGTCCACCTTATGATATAACCTTACTCATACGCTCTCAGGATGATGGCCGTGATGGCCAAGCAGATGCAAGGTGCGTAAGAAACCCATTCACGAGCGAACCTTAGTTGATCTTCCGGGCAGCCGCCGCCGAGAAGAAGACCCGGGCGCGCGACGCCAAACTCATTCAGGCTTACAAGACTGAGTCTGAGAAGCTTGTAAGTATATCTTGTCCCCTCAATACGGATTCCCCGTATGCACGGCGGAAGGGAAACGCATATATGCACGTTTTCGAGGCTGACGCGCGTCTGGTCTCTAGATCACCACTCGGGCACAGAAAGTGCAACAAGTCGTTACGGAACTGTGCGCATACACCCTCACCCAAATCTGGCTTGAACTCACATGTTGCATAGCATCCGTGATCTGGACGATTTGGCTCTCGAGGAAGCCCAGAACGAGGACTCGATTCGTAAGCTGTGGATGGAAGCTGGGCGAGGGCGCGTTGCATATGCTGCAAGTCGTCTCGTCTGACCCCGGTTTCAATCTCATTGCGCTAACACGCCTACACAGGACAAGATGAAGAACTACCACGAGACGGCGGGAGCTTACGAGGAGACGCGTGTACAGGAGAACATCCCGCACCTGTACGCGATCAAGGCTGCTGTAAACGGTGAGTATACCAGGCGTACTTCGTCATGATCAAACACTCACCTCCCAATAGACGTGGAGCGTGTGGCAAACGGTCTGGATGAAGGCATGTAAGGAAGGTACTCCATGGAGTATGGAAACATGGCTGTTGTGGAGTTTCAGGGATCGACGTGTACTTCGGACTTGCTTCTCGATGATACCTGTAACGAGAAGACGTCATACGTGGCCGTAGCAGTGCAGGCGCAGTCAAGCATCTATACGAGATATCATTCGCGAGGACGAGAACGACAGACACCAACGCGGACGATTACGCATCGCGCGTCTCATATCGTGCACGAGTACTATTGTGATGCCTGACAGTGGTCTCTGCGTCATATCTCGATCGAAATAATGATCACAGGGTCAGGCTGTACTCGCATACGGCATATTTTCATGGTCAATAAACATGCGTTATCCGTGCATTAGAAGTCTCGATGCGTCTCCGAATACCGTTTAGACGCCTCGGAACGGAGTCTCGGAGGTCTCACGATGTATGTCAGTCCCATCCAGACGGCGGAATATAGTTTGTCCATGATGTCCGTGAGCTTCAACGAGTTTGGGCGTGGAGAGGAACCAACGATGATGATCACCGTGCCATCACAATCCTAGCGAAGGCTCGGGTGTCTTGCCACAGCACTCCATGGTAAGAAGTAGCAATCAACGGTCCTCGACTGTAGCTCCTAGCATTCCGAAGGCCAATCGATAGTGGATGGAGCGTAGATCTTCCCGCACACAGCAAGCTCAATCACCTATACGGCGTCGCAGATGGGGCTCAATAGCCGATCACCGCTGCTCACCTGCCGCTTGCGTGTTCTCGAGTAACACATGTGTTGTACTTTAACGTGGCCTGACAGTTTCGAATGGAAAGGCGAAGTACAAGCGAAACCCCATGACCCGACTTCGCAATGCAGTTACGGAGACCATCTGCAATGTGGCATAGGTGAGGCTCCCCGGGAGTCGTAAAAGTTTGTGGAATCTGCTAATGCTGACTGAGAATATACTCAATCGGCGTGCTACAGGCTTATATGTGCAAACCAGGCCGGGCTCGGATCAATCTCCAGTCGAAGGGGTCGACGGAGCTTGGTGGATTCACTGCGCCTGTGCGGCGTATTCCCAAGGTGTGCAAGCCTCTTCACTGGCATGGGACTTCCCTTGGCGTGAAGTGATATCTCAGGGGATCGAGACGAAGCGAGATGAGTACCCACATGGTATCGCCCGAATGAGCAACGCGAGTGCGTCTTCGCTTGTTGGGCGCCGACTGAACGCTGCATGATTCGCTTCATGTCTCTCCGATGTTCCTTCGAGGGTCAATCGCTAGCGACTCGGTTGAGATACGGATGAAGAGCAGATGTCATGAGCATCGGCTGAATGCAGATCATCGTAGCCAGAAGCTTAAGTAGAGACGCTCGTCCAACGCTTGGACGTGGAGGCGAGGAAGGAAGGGGCTTCACAACTACCACGTACGTGGAAGACTGAGCCACGCCGCGGCGCCTGGTTACGCAGATTCAGATGCATAAATGTGTGTGAGGCAGCTCAAAGCGCCGTCCTTGGATCATATGAGTCGTGTGCGCAAAGGCGCAGGAGTATACACAACCCATCAGGTGGTAGGGAGCGCTTAGTTCGCTTGCCCACACGAAACTCCTGCCCGAATGGGGCTTCCCAATAGTTTAATCAGTAGATGCCGGCTTCTTCATCACATCGTCCGTTATGGTCATCGGAATCGTCCATATCCTGACAAAACCTAGCCAACAGTCGGACGGCTGAGCAATTCCGTAGAAGAGGCATGAAACTCAGAAGGCGACGTGACGCGACAGACTATGGCTTGACATGAAGAGTGTGCGGCGGCGGTGCGCTGTAGGTAGTTCCGGCGACTGACCATACATGCAAAGTAGATCAGACTCCCGCAGGAGAGGCAGTCTTTCCGGAGGCCCTGGTGCAAACCTGGCTGCGAGATGATGGTGGTAGAAAGAGGGACGCCGGGACGCGTCCGCGTGCGCAGATTAGGCGCCCCGGGCCGATTGACGCCCAGCTAAGCGCCGCTGTTGGCGCGCGCCACCATCTGAATAGCGTCGGGGGGTAAACCATCCTATGTAGCTGTGCATTGGGCCCATGATGCATCATTCACCGTAGCTCTCGCAGTTAAGTGGAGGACATTGGGGGAGGAGTCGTGACGAGCTCAATCTCGACGCGGTTCGCATCGATGTCCACATCTTGGCAATTCAGGTCTCTTGGCCTCCGACCCTCTTTCGTCACTGGATAGAGATCCGCTCCAGGCCATAGGCATACGAGCTGGGTCTACCCTCCAGATTCTGTAGCGCTCTCCTGTCCGAGATGCACTCAGTGTCAGGTATGGGCCGCGATCACCCTAGCACCGGTGGAAGGGACTGTGATACAGGACGCTCGCAAATGAAATGGACCTCCTCATGCACTCGATGCATCAAGACATTGTACTTGCATACGTGCGTCCATTCAGTCCCTGGATAACCCTGGAACGATACAAGCCACCATCCTAGTGTCGCGATCTCAAAAGATGTGCCAGAGCTAGAAGGTATCAAGCAGTCAAATCGCCCACGCGTACCGGATCGACGAGTGAAGGCTTCTAGGCGGTTCAAGCGCAAGCGCAAGTACGAGGACTGGTGTACATATCTGTGATCGAAGGATGCCCTACAAGACATGCATGATCGATCTCCCAGGAAGCAGCCGCGTTGCGAGACGCCACAGCCAGGTCCACGATCGCATTCAGTGTAGTCAATGCCACAACATGTGTTCCTAGATACGGGCGGATATCCGGCTAGAAATCAGGTGTCGATAACGACCGCTGTGGTCGGTTGTTGACTTCAACGCCATATACCTTCGAATACGATCGTGTGGTTCTTCTAAGTTACCACGCTCGCCTCGCACCTCGATATCTCCTTCAACCAACCAGAATCAAGTCGCCAGAGCTACAAATGCCGAGAAAACAGATGCTCCACCATTTACGTTGATACGAGAAAGAGGTTCCAAATCCTCTTCGAGGCCGGCCGTCAGGCTACTGCCGACTCAGGGAGGTGATAAGATCCCGCCGGTCAGCCTCGTCAACACAGCCCAGAGAACACATCATACTATCTGGAGGTTCCTCGTATCATGAAACCCAGCACAAAGATGAGCGAAGGTGATCCGTTCACAACGTAGATGAAAGTGAATGTGGATTCAAGAGAAAACAGATATGCGTATTGGACCGCATTGGCATTGGCGGTTTGAACATGAACGTGAACGTAGATGAACGCTAATCGCGCACGCACGTGCTTCTAGGCTCATATCTCGTTGGTACCTTCGGCACCAACGTCCAACCCTTGACCGCGAGGCAACAAGAAGGAAAGCCAGACTTCGGCATTTGCCTAAACTCAATGGGGAGTAAGTGCTTCGGGTGCCGGCCGCGGCAGTTTTCGAAGCTGCTGTAGGCTTCTAGACAGGCCTCTTGAACAAAGGTGTCATGCGGAGGATGAGCTTCGGCAGATATGCAATGTACATTGAACGGGGAAGAGAAGGCGTGAGGCGTGAAGCCATTGGTTGAGAACTTACTGCCGGTCAAAGGGAGAGAACGGAGCGGCTACCTGATCTCGAGTGTGGGTACAATGTCAGTTCGACTGTATGCCACGAGTGTGCGAGAAGCCACATCGCGGGCGACGTGTTCTTTCATATGAGCTCTCCTACAGTGATATGGTGCAAAGCCTTAGCGGCATGCAGCAAGTGGACCAAGAAACCCCATGGAGAGCACACGCCGTCGCATGGCTGCGCAAGGGCAAGCAGCCAGAGGGAGAACGCGCACGATGGTGGCACCATCCGACCCGCAGTACCCCAGTGTTTCATAGCACACTCGGCACCTTCCCAGCGCGCACGGCTGAGACGGACCTAGCAGACAAAGGTTGGTCTGACTAGTCTCGCACGCGCAGGAAGAGCAATGTCATACCGGCGAGGCGAGGACGAGCTCAAGCACTTAGCGGCATTCTGAACATGAGGCCTCGCCCTCATGTTACAAAGGAAGCCACCATCAAGATATGATAGCCTTCAAAAGTTGATCAACACGCGTCGTGTGCCTGTAAACGCGCTCCTTTGTCTAGCTTCGTTCTCCGAGACAAAGCAAGCGCCCGAGTGGCGAGTCGGCGTGCAACGGGTCCGAGTACCGCTAGCCCCGCGGCGGGACCAGACTCTACGCAGTGCAAGCACTTCTCCGTTCCATATGACCGGACCCACAACGTATTCCTTCCGTCTTTAGTCTGCGATGAGCAGAATTTGAGAGGGTTCTCCTGTTTAGACAAGGCGGGACGCACACACACCATCCAATCTTTAGCTTCAGGCCATTTGTGTATGATCCTGTGATACTGTCGCCACAGACTGTATTCGGAGTTGGTTCGCAACCGGGTCTGTACTGGTAACGGGGCCCGTTCTGAGACCGGGTGTGGCGAAACGGAAGCAAGTATCCCGACACTTCGCGCTGTGTTCCGTTCGTTGCCCCGGAGCGGAAGTACATTGTCTCAAGCACCGCGGGCAGTGAACAACTTCCGTTGTCATAAGTTCGCGGTATTCCCAGGCAGAAATGACAAGTTTGGCGAGCCTTTTCGCCAATTTACAGCCTGAATAGACAGGTTAGCTCTTGTCTCATGGTTTTGTGGAGTTGGAACTTATCCTACCGAATTAGGCAAAAATGATGGTGAAAAGGCTTCCTGACGTAGAGTTTTGGACGGAAGAAGATACCTTTTGTTCCATATTGGCTAGGCTAAATCTCAAAGGAATGAAAGTCTGGCAGCAAAGGTAGCGTTTCCGTCTGGGCTTTTCCGCGACGGAAAGACCCATAAAATTTATCATTTTCTGCCCCGTAGTTGGCGAACTTCTGGCAACAGAAGTGCTTCAATGTCTGCGGTGAAGGAGATAATGGCAAACGCGGGCCCACAAGAGCGAGATGAGGCGAGGTCGGCATGAGCTCACAGGGAACGGGGTGCCAGAGTGGGCGCCGTTGGGCGGAGGCAACTTCGAGGGCCTCGTGTCGTCATCGACATTGAATCCCACGTGATCGTGTCCGGAATGGTTGAGAGCCGCGTGGAGCCGCTGGATGCGAAGCCGGGGTAAGGATGATTGGCATATGCAGGAACATATGCGCTCTATATGCACAGCATTCGATCAGTAGAGGGCTGTATGACGACTATGGCTGAGCTCGAGCGTTGGCGCGGGCGCGAAGTCGGTGGGACCGGTAGCCACTGGCGAGACGCGTGCGGGAGCGAGTACGTGAGTGTGTGACGACTTGCACAGAATGACGAGTACTGATTAGTGAGCACGGTCGTGGGCGCATTATTGCCTGTGGCCAGTGATTGCGTTGAGGAAGGAGTGTGGACGGTGGATAGCATTCAATGCGTGATGCATATAGAGCTCCGACTATTGACGGAGGGTTCGGAGGAATGGGCGGAGGGCCGAGACGTAACGCGAAGTTCGAGCACCGAAGCGCCGTGTACGTCCCTCGCTAATCGTGCGCCACGATGAGGAGTCGATAACTCTCGAGGCTCGAGAGATGCGATAATGACCGGAAACGGCAGGCGAGATGGGCGTCGAACGAACGTGAAGCTGGGGTTATCTTAGCGAGTACTCTCCACGTTCGAAGAGCGTATGCGCACCCCGGTATGTAACGCAGTAGCACCGCGAACGCGCGAAGGCGTACTTCGGCTACGGACACGCTTGATCCGCGCGAGAAACAGCAAGTTTATTATGCAAAGCCGACGGTTGATGTTGACAGAGTTCATGAGCGTGGATCCCGAAGGCTGCACCGCCGCGCTGCACGCTGGGATCTGCAGCACCCTCCATGCTTGTCACCGCCGGTTGCAGACACGTCGGATGGCCGACGCCGCGATGCCAACCTTAAGCGCGCAGGATGCTGCATCAGTAATGATAGATAGAGATTGACGTGCTGCGCCTGAATGGGAAGCGATGTTAGGACGCCCACAAGAGTCAATACAGTACCATGAGGCGGGAACGCACGTAGAGTGTCGGGACCCGGCATCCGTGCGACGTCCGATGCGTAGTGCCGAGTCGATCCCGAGCACAGCGTCGGGCGCATAAACGCGCTGCGTTCTCGTTCCAGTACCCTTCCGATCCACGAGTATAGCATACAAAGTACCAGGCGTCTACCACCGACCTCATTCCGAACACGAGAGCATCACTCCGATGCGCAGGTGGCGAGTTTCAATTCGCGTATGAGTAAGATCAGTCGATGAAGCTTTCTCGTTGGACGACAGCCAGCTAGAGCTTCAGAACAGGCGATGATGCTACACCGGTGAATGGTTGGCTCGCTAAAGTTGATGTAGTGAGTCGCATGTCCGAAAGTTGTGTCGAGACGGAGATACGACGATGACGGCGTCGGCGGTTGTGGAAATCAGAACACCGCGAAGAACGTAGGTAGAAGTAGCCAGTGTGCATGCCAATCACCAGTGTCAGGGATGCCTGCGGGCATCTTGGGGTTCACTCTGGGCGTACCGACGCGCGCGCGAGGCAGAGCGTCGATCAGTCGCACAACACAAAAGTCAGTTGTGGAGTATGTGCAGACCAGGGTGCTGATCAACGTCCAAGGACAGGGGCAGCCCGGCGGAGAAGTCATCGATTAGATTATAGGGCGTTGCCTGGGTTGCGCCCTACGTGACCACGGCGGGCCGGCAGATGCCATAGATAGTCATCGCGCCTCCGCCAAATGAGTATTCGCTGGTGCTAGAAGCACAGCGAACGCATAGAGAGCCCATTGTGGCATCTTGAAACCAAGCTGAACTTGAGCAGATGGTGGCGGGTGGCCAAACATGATGAACCTGATGAGAATTGACTGGGAAGCCAGAACTTGACTGATCTGGGAATCTTAGAGACGCATGCTACATGCGATGACGCCTCGAGTTAAGCATTTGTGAGGGCGGTGAATGGTTACGATGGCCATCGACGATGCAAGATGGAGTGCAAGTCGTACTGGAGGCCGCGTCGGCGCGGGCAAAGCGCCGCCACGTGTGTGGCGGCGCGTCGGGATCCCACCCTCTTGTTCTCCCCTTGCGCAGGCGTTCTTCTGCGATGTTTTGATATTGTCAATGACGATGGAAGGCGGGCAATGTCGTTGCCATAGAAGTACGAGGCGAGATGCTACTACCCACGAAAAGCAGAATTGGCGAACGGTAACGTGAGGGCGCCGGCGTCAGTGACGAGATAAATTTGCCCTGTGGCTGCGGTCTAATCGTCCCTATACACTTTGTCAGGCGTACTCAGCAGTGAGCGCAACCTGCGCATAGTGTTGTAAGATAGCCATCCGAGTTCCTCCGAGCTTCTGGGCTCGAGCATCGTCCAGAGGCACCGAGAAAACCTCGCGCATCGGTGGCCTGACCGGAGCATTGTGCACTGCTGTGGAGCCCCACTGTGGCCTGGGCCACACTCCCGCCGGCGTGCGTACGGCAAATTGACAATACCTCCAGTCCCGGATCTAGTCCACTTCTTCGACCACCCGAAGAGGAGCAAAGACGTCCCATGCCAAATCTTCAGCGCATGCGACTCTGACACGCCGGGCGAGAACGGTGTACAGATGCGAGATGATGAGATTGAGATGCGGACAATACGTCCCGTCTCCATGCACACCAGTGGTCAAAGTAGCGAATGTAGATGAGATTGTGTTTGTACGGTGGACAATGAAGATGGAGAGGAGAACGGGGGCGGAGGTATTGTGTTTGAAGAGAATAGTCGAATGTTCACACGGGGCGATTGTCGGCTCATTGTCCTCGAGATAAGATACACGAGTAGCAGGTCAATGCCTTACGAGGTCCTGTACGAGAATGGAAGCAAGTAGAAGCGGCGATCGCTCAAGTGGCGCGACCACGGACAAGACGAGATGAATAGGGGGCTCGCTTGATGGAGTAGAAGGCGAATAGAACAAGGTAATAGCCGCACAGAGACAAAGGGGGTAGGTGGTCCGCACAGACATGGAACAAGGGTATACTCGGAGGTCAGGGTACAACGCTCATGCACGCAGGTGAAGCGTAGGGTATGTGCGCTAGCGGGTAGGCCCTTGACGGGATCGGAATTGTGAGCACGCGCTCATGCAGATGTGCGTACTACGAAACCAATGCAGAGCAGCATGATCAGACACATCGGCGCTCGTCACAGCTGAGCGGAGTTGACGTTCGGCCCGAGATACACGACTGGGCCGTACAGTACGCGCTGTTTCCGCGAGTGCCCGCCGCCCGCGTCGGGACAGCGCCACGGCCTGCGGGCTAGGATCCGGTGTCGACGGGCGGCGCGGGGCCCGCGGCGCGAATCCGGGACACCTGTCGGGAATACGAGCACTGCAGTGTCCAGTCCACCTATACGGATCCAAGTGACAGTGGCCAATGACAGTAGACGGTCCGCGCAGTCACTGCTGTGGCCTGTCGGCGCACGCCGCTCAGGCCGAGTGCTGTGAGCCACGTACGGCGCCGTGAGCGAGACCGGAAACCCCGAAGCTGGTCAATGCTAGTCAGTTGGCCCAAGGTGCGAGCCTTCACTATCCGAGTGAGCTTTCGAAGCGAGAGCACGGGAGAGAGAAGGCGCAATGTGAGTCCTATATCAGCTTTATCGCGGGCTGTTTGCCACCGATCTCAAGCTGACGGCCGAAACTACAACACGATCTTAAGGGCGACGGTGACGATGCCTAGGACTGTTCAATATTATTGACGATTGCCACCAACGGGCGTCCAAGTTCTCTTCCTAGGGCCAACGCACGGGGGCATGGTGAGGGGAGGAAGAGAATTGTGGTGGGAGCCGGGCATGCTGAAACCACGTTTAGCCGGCTTTGCCTCGCCTCGCGCCTCGAGGCGAGGCGGCGAGACGAAACCACGTCTCTGCAATTATTACCTCGTTGCGACCACCTGCCTTTTGTGTCCCCGGTATATAGAGCGCGAACTGGGGCGCTTCGATAGATTCCCTCGTCAAGTGCTTCCCTCTCATTTGCCTGTTTGCCTCTCGACCACCACTCCTCCAGCCGAGTAGACCGTTACAACCGTAGCGTCTCCACGCGCCCACAACTCAATCGTTAGATCATCTCAATTCCAAGGTGAGTTTGAGGGCCGGACCCATTTTCCCAGATCAGATCCGGGCGCTTGCGGGATCAGACGCTTCTCGCGCGAAGTTCCTCGCCAAACTCGCCCGGGCGTTCCTGGCATCCTTCTTTTATAGGACACCTCGCTGACGAGACCTTCGCACTCCGCCCCCAGCCCGCGCGCTTGCAACTCCCCGTCCCTCCTCCTCCTCGCCACCGTGTCTACCCGACCTCCTTCATCTCTGTCGAATGGCAACTGTCGCCGGTCCCGTTCCCTCGCGAACGTCGCAGCCCACGCATAATAAGCAGGCTACAACCTCACGCTCGAACCCGGTACGTAGTTCCGAACTCTGAATATTCTAAATCATTCTCACGCTCTTTATTAGACCGGCCAGGACCCATTCCACGGCCATGAACGGATGGCACGTCTGGCCGCCCGCTTCGTCTCGCACTTGTTCGCCTGCCCCGACCAGCCGGCGCCAGCTGCCGGACAGCAAGCACCCGCGCGCCTGGACCATTTCATCGCCTACGCCCTCCACCGGACGCGCTTACCGGAAAGTGTCACGTATGCGTCACTATTCCTGTTACAGCGTCTCAAGGCGCGCTTCCCCGCCGCCAAGGGTTCTTCAGGGCACCGCCTCTTTATTTCCGCTTTCATGTTGGCCAGCAAGATTATCTGCGACGACACGTACTCAAATAAGTCCTGGTGCATCGTCGCCCAGGGTATGTTCGCGCTGCGCGAGATTAACCAGATGGAACGCGAGATGTGTTCGTATCTGGAGTGGCAGCTCAACGTGGACAAGGATGTCCTATCCGACTTCACCGCCCGCGTCGCCAGCGATTTCTCGGGCCCCGGGCCGTATCCCGCGCTCGTCATCCCGTCCGAAGCATCCCCTGCCACCGACGGCAGCAACCTGGCCGCTTTCGGACAAGGAGGGATCTACGCCCCGGCTCCCGCTGCCGAGTCCCCTCGCCGCGCCGAGGTGGAGATGTCGACTTCGTCACCTTCCACCCCTGGAGCCTCGAGTTCGGCATCCGTCTCACCCGCTTCCATTGCCGCGCCGCGCACGCCCACGGACATCGTTCCGAATTACCATGTCGAGGTTGCCGGTGGTGAGCCAGACGTTCGGCGCCATGCGCGCTCGCATTCGAAGCCCGAGCCCGAGCGCTCGGTGCCTTCGACACAGGATCCATACCTCGCTGCCGAGGAAGCTGGCGATCGCGCGAACGCGATCCTCGGCGCGCCGGGCTCGAGGAAGCATGTGCCGAGTCCGACCATGCGCTCAAAACTACAGGTCGGTCGCGATATGTTTGCGTACGCGACGAGGACTGTCTGGTAATGGTTCGCGTCTTGGGACTCCGTTGTCTACACATCTTGCCCGCACCTTTTGCTTGCTTTCACATCATCATCACTGTATCATGACATCCCTGCATGCCCGTCCGCTCCTTCCTTATTACACCCACATACCCCCAACAATACTCCCCATCACATCCCCGCCCACAGCTCACCATTTGCCCTGTCCATTTCCCACTGCTTCCCTCGGGTCTCATCGTGTCTCTTGCATACATGGACTTGACATCCCTTTCCCCCCTCGGAGTCGGTGGGCGTCTTGGGATGTCGTTGGTCGTGCTGTCGTCGCATTTTCCGTCGCTATCGCTGCTCGAATGAACTTAAAGATCGTCATTGTATTATCTTCTATTAAACGTTACATGCCTCATGCCTTAAGATGACGTACAGTAGGCTACTCTGGCAACAATGCAATATACTACATATACTCTCAACACAGTGTGAACATCTATCAACAGCCAGCTCGTGCAAAACAAAGATAACGCTTCATGCCTTTGATCGTCTAAAATGAATGCCTCGCGAGATGCGAACGGCTTTACCAACGCTAACGCTATCGACGCCGTACTCACTCAGTACATACATTCAGTCGATGTCGGCAACCGCGTAACTAATCGAGCCGGTACCGTACCTACCCTAGCTGTGCGCATTAATCCTGCCATCGTGACTTGCGCCCTAGAGCTTATACAACTCCGAGACATGATAATCGCAGTGTCGGCCCGCGCCGTCAAAGCTCCGCCTCGCGAGCAATAAGCCTCCGTGCGGCCAAGAGCCTTAGACTCGACGCGACCCCGCACTGGGTGTGGCCCGCACGGTTCGGAAGCAGATCTACTTTGCCTATCGGACCGAACGTGCGACCCCGGGCCTCGAGGATCGCGGATATGCGCCAGCGGATAGATAGATGGACTGCACGGGTCGGGTCGTGCTCTGCGCGTGTAGATGCGAGTCGGAGGTGGTCGGGTCAGAGCGGGCAAGTGCGCTGCACAGTACGGTATCGAGGGCGCGTTCAGCGCGTGTATTGCTATGTCGTGATATCGCGCGGGGCGGGCGCGCGTCGGGCCACGTCGGGCTGCAGAGTTGCATCGGCCGGTTGATAGGCCCAGGGATCGCCGTTGACACATGCGGTCATGGCGGCGGGAACCGTTCTTCCCGACCGCGCGGGGCCGTCGCGCGTCCGGCGGGCGGGTCGGCCTATGTTGAACTTGCCAAAGCGCAACTCTGTACCGGATTAGGTTCGCAGGATCGTCGTATACAACTACAGGGCGGCCTCCGTTTATCGAGAGGCCGAACACTCGATATATGCGCTGTACAGCAGACGATTGCACGCCGGGCGACTGTTGTTGCTCGGTCCAGGCTCTGTACCCTGGAGGCACGCCAGCAATTGTTCGGCGCAATAAAGATGGTCAACATCGAGGCGAGACGGCCTGTATACTACATTGCGTGAAAGGCCCGGCGATCACTGTTGAACTGCGTCGCTAGAAGTTTCTGTTGTTCCACAAGGTTGCTTCGTCGTCGGCGCGAGCTCGCAACGAGGCTCGCGATGCGCCCTTTCATGTGGTCTGAAGACTGCGCCCTCCTTGAGGCTGCCGCTAGAGGTAATTCGGTACACTGAAAGGTGCTTCTGTAGGCGGTGAAGTTGGCCAGAGTGCTGCAAGTGGCTAGGCAAAGTGGCGGGTGCCTTGCCAACTGCCTGATTTGGGAGCGTCTATGTCCACTCGGAGCGCCCAATGGGTGTGAACGCGACTTCCCACTGTCCATCATCTCGCCTTGGGCGCATTGCTGAGTGTATAAGACTCTCACAAAGGTCTTCTTCTAAGCTGTATCTTCCACCAGCTGTTGTGTGCCCTATCTTCTCGCCGATAGCCTTGAACGAAGGGGACTGCCCTTGCGCCGCGGCTGTTCTTCAAATCCTTCTCTTCGGGACGCGTACACCTTGTGATATGTACCTATACCCTATGCAGCATCGGGTGGTGATAGGCATGGAGGGCAAAGACACTATCAAAAGAGAGCTGGAAGTCGGAGATGAAAGGGTGTACTCTTGCGGGGGTAGTATGCAACCTTCGGGTTCGATTGAGGTTAGGGCGTGCGTAGGCTAGAGCGGGCCCTCATGGCGTGTAGTCCGGCGTGGTTCCCTTCAGAATGTTCTAAGTCTCACACAATGTACTCTCTGAAACTGATATATCATGGCGCGCAGATGTTTGGCGCTGTCGCTGGCGGGCGCGCGCTTACTACGACAGACGACGCCGCCGACAGCGAAGATTTCCAGCGCGCATGTCGTCTCGAGATGCGGGAAAACGTCACAACCATCCCTTTTTCTTCGGACCTTTTGCCTGTTTGAACGCTATCCCTTACGAACGTCGGAGCGATATCGTTGTTGTGCTCGAAGAAGCTTGTAACTCGTGGCCAACGCGTGGTGTTCGTCCGCGAGGGTCGAAGCGTCGCGTCCTTCCATATCAGAGCGCGAACTTGTGCGTGCGCCTCTATACAACACTTCTCTTGCTTGTTTCACAGCTGCGAGTTGTCATCCAATCAAACTCGAGGCATACGCAGGCTGTTTGCAGTCAATCGTACGAGAGCAATCCCGGACGCTCATCGTCGCAGTCCTCGTTCTTTCACCGTATCGGCCGAACAAGGACGCATTATGTCCGAGTCCACAGTTCGAATTCCACAGTTCCACACTCTGTCAACCACGGTGTCAGTCTCATGGTATCCTGCTCGTGTACTGTGGCGTATCTGACCGAACACTTGCTGATTCCTATGCAACGCTATGGGTGATCGTCATTCGTCAGGGAAGATGCATAACGTTGTCCTAGGAATCAGCCATCTTCCCGGTCATCGAGCGTCCACAGGTCTTATGTGGTGGCGATTCGTGGGCTATGCGATGGTTGGATTGAGCTCATCTCGCCCCGCGTCTCTGGAGTCCCTGCGCCTACTCTGGCCCGCACAGTTCCACAGCAGTACACCGTTTCATAGCTCAGAACTGAGCCTTGACCTGAACCTAAGGGTCCCAGGAAACGCACTGCGGTGTGTTCGAGTGCAGTCCACATCCTAGGGCTTTGTGCTTTGCTGTGGCCCGCTGAGCACAGTATCTTGGATGCGATACTGGCAGCTGCCATCAGTTTCCCAGGCTTATTGGCAGCCTTCTTCCATTCAGCTTTGATTCGCGCCGCATTGACATGTCGTCTAGTCTCCTCTCAAGGGCGTTGAATGTGGCTTCGTCTGCTCTGGCAGGTACAGCCTTGGGCTTCTTATGCCTCCCATATATCCCGTGTATCGCGCTATACCTCACAGGTGCACCGTCCCCACTGTATACGCGCCCAATGTAGCCCGTGCCGAACCGGCTTTCGCACGTCCTCCTCAACTCAATGCGCTCGGATAACCTTCCCGCCTTCGCGAAGCCTGGCCAATGGCTCGTCTGCACTCTATCATGGTGAGTAAGCCAGAGCGCTTAGCGATGCTTTTTCTGAGTCTCCTTTTGCCACGAATGTAGCCCCGTAGAAGGCAGCGACGTTGACGCGTTGACGCATCATCCCGCCACAACAAGTTGGCCAACAACGTGTTCCTTCCAGCTTTTTGCCGGGTTTCATGGCGTGCAAACTTACCCTAAAGTCGTACGTGACGTAGCCTGGCAGAAGAATGGAGATCCTAACCGGTGTTATAGTCCGTATGGAATATCCATCGGGAATACCGGAGTTCTCGGTTACATCCTCAAGGCGAGATGGGGCATGCGTACTTGCACGTATGGGACGATCATACGGCAAGTATGGTGGGACCGAGAGTAAACATGCGTTATACAGTCCACTTGGGGTACTCATGGATCCATATATTCCGTATACAAGCCGTCATCATCGGAAGCGCGCACCCGAACACTCGCGCAGCTCGCAAGCTTGCTCTGAAACACGTCGCTCGGGACCGTCGCGCTATGGAGCTGGATATGAAAGAGCCAGCTGGAAGAAGCGCTCTGCTACACGCACGGAGAATTGTATGAGAGCGGTCAAGTGATATCATCCAGCTCGCGCCTCTCCCGCGTCTGCATGCAACTTGGCCTTCGGTGTCCTACAAACTATAGATCTCACCTCATATGAGCGCTTAACTTGGGCGCTTCCCTTCCCTGTTACCGTCAAGGCATCACATTCTCAACAGTGCGGTGTCTTTTCTCTCTGACGGAGCGCGTACTTATGCCAGATGACCAGATACGCGCCTACGTACCACGTATAGGTTGCTTGGACGGTCCAACTCGAGGTACTAGCTGTAGTGCACCCTCATTTCAGATTTTCATATTCCAGTTCTACATTCTGCACCTACATGTCGGGCGGATCATATCATAGGCTTTGTATTGTACCCCGCCTCCAATTGACGACTTCTCGCGCCCCTGGTCTCAAGTTGGAGTTGAGACTCCACGGGCTGTATTACTGTACGCGTACCCACTGAGCAAAGCCTATGCTGGAAACACAGCATTCACCACATCCAATCCACTGCGCATGCTGTAAGAACTATGCCGAGCGTGACTTCGCCTACGCATAAGTAGGGAAGCAGGCGGACACGACATTGCTCCGAGCCGAAAGTCCGAGCCGGAAGTGACGCGAACGCGGGATCTCAGGTGACCGTGTTTATGCAGCCAAGGCTGCGCGGTGCGGGTTGGTCGCTGGGCTGTGCAACGCCATGACCACCCTTGCTTCCTGCCTCCACCCTTCTGTCAAATCACGGTCCTTACACCCTTGAATGCTGCGGACGAAGCCTCGCGCTCTTTTACAATCCGCTTTGAACTCGCCAAAGCCATGCAGAGCCAGCATAGCTTCACCGAAGTCGCGGACAAGTCGTGTGCTTAGTACCGCCACCCGGCCAGGTCGCGCCACTGCCTCCACGCGTATTCTGCCCGGCTCTCTGCATACGAGATTGTATGCGACATTGCCGGAATCTGGACAAGATGAGAAGGACAAAACGGAAGTGCTGTTGAAGGCTTTGCTTGTCAAGCTAAACCAGGAATCGCGCTCGCCTTCCATGGATGCGGCGTTGACAGCAATGATGGGTTTGGCAATGGGTGAGCTTGACGTCCCTGCTATATGCATTCGATCACATATTGTACATGACATGACGCGACTTCGGCACGTACCCCATGCCATGATCTCATGCACACGCGCCGAGCGGCACAAATCCTGTGCACTGCTAGTTCCCATTGCGCCCAAGGATGCCCACCCGAATCACGAATGGACGCGCATCATTCCTTTGCAAATATTCGGTTTCTGATGAGGGTACTGCGCTTGCGATTCAACGCCCTTTTGTCTGTCTCATACGGGAAAGCGTTGCGCCAGCCTTCGCGCAGTCTCCTCGTTCTCCCATCCTAGTCAATCTCGACTCTGTGCATCCGTGAAGCGGCCTCCTGAGCTGTGGAAACATATCATATCTCGGGCCCTTGTTCCCGCGGTTTCTCTAGGGCGGAAGTCGTGCCGCGATTTCGTACCTTGCATCTCGTCTCGGAACTCTCTTTGTTCCTGTACTCTTCTAGTTTCGTCTCGCTGACGCGTCTCCGGTAGCTTTTGTGGGTGGTGTCGCATACTACGCTTGGTACAAGAAGAATGTTTTGGACAAGGTGCATCTCGCTTATTCAGCTCGAGTTTCAAGTACAACACGCTGATATCATGTCTTCCTTTGTTCTCAGATCGAGAAGGCCTTTGAGGGCGGATACGATCCAGCGCTGGAATTGGCTGTGCACGCAAAGAAGAATGCCGAAAGTCGAAACTTCAGTGAAGCCATTGACGAACTAGAAGTCGAGGACGGACCATGGACAAAGCACTTGCGCCGGCGCGAGCAGGATATACTGGATTTGATCATCCACGGGAAAGAGCACGGCCATTATTTCATGCTTCTAGGTGCAAAGGTTCGCGTCTCCTGTCAAAGATAGATGGGAAGACGAGATGACTTATACTATGACACCTGATTCTAGGGCGCCGGGAAGACTACGATGATTCTCGACTCCATGCAAACGAATCAAGCCGAGGGCGTGGCGATGTGCGATGCGCATCCCGATCTCGAGGTATTCAGGCTGAGACTGGGAAAGGCGCTCAACTATGAGTACAACGAGGATACGCAGACCGGGCTGTTTCAGCGGAGAGATCCGCGAGAAGGTATGTGGTAGCTGGGCGTTGCCCCTTTATCTCGGCAGCGAAGAAGCGTATGGCTGACTCGCGTTGAATAGGCGGTCCAGGACTCGATATTGAACGAGGTGGGTCTTGTCGTCATAGCGAGTCTTTGGATGGGCGTCAAGTGCTGAAGTACATAATAGTGATGAACAAGCTCGAGAAAGTTGCCCTCAAAAAGGCTCGTAAGACCGGCCGCCCACTCGTATTGGTTATCAACAACGTTCACTACTTCCGTAACAACGACGATGGCAAGAATATGCTGTTACAACTACAACAGCGCGCAGAGTCGTGGGCGGCGAGCGGTACGTCCAAGTTCCAACCTAAACGGTCCATTTCCAATCGACCTGCGTCGTGTATCTCGCCTCGCGCTGTACATGCTTCACTCATGATCATCTCTGACTGTCATCTCTCCATAGGTATCATGACGCTGGTGTTCACTTCGTGAGTGCTGTACTAGCCCGACTTGGCCGACATGCCCGGTCGTCAAGCACGAGTACTGACACAGCCCGCCACAGAGATGATTTCTGGCCATTCTTCACACTGCGTGCGTGCCACCATCCCGCTCATACGTTCGTACGATTGCATATACTCACAGCCACGCCACGTCTTTGACAGGCCAACATGCGAGTCGTATGCACACTCTGACCATCTACGATCTCAACACGGAGGAAGCTACCGCCGCATGCCAACGCATGCGCCGCTTCACCACTTTGCCCACAGAGCCTAAAACCGTTGTCGAAGAAGCGACGTCCATCGTCGGCGGGCGTCTCTCGTACTTGAATCGTATTGCGCGTGCGAGGAACATGGTGGACATGGCCAAACACATGTTGGCTGTTGAGAAGGGCTGGCTACTCTCGCAGATCGGTTTGATCAGGGATTGTGACGATGATGTGATGGATGAGCAGAAATGGAGCAGTTGCTCGTGGCTGTTACTGCAGGAATTTGTGAAGAAACGCGAAGAGCAGATCGCAATGGCGAGAGAGGCCATCGCTGCGGGGGAGAAGACGGAGGAAGACTTGTTGAACCTGCCTCTTCCTGCTATTCCCTACGTGCGTCGCTATCTCGGCTTCAGTCTCGGTAGCGATTATGGCGCAACTGGCTGACTGTTGCTATGAGCAGTATCAATGCCGACAGATCATGACTCGAGCGGACTTCCTCGAAGGTACGATCTTGCCTATCCCGTCCATCGTCCCCTATCGCCTTAGCTGACGCTTTGGTCCCTGCACACTAGAGCTCGACCGTATCAATGTCATCTCTATCGACGTGCGTACCCTCGACCCCCTTTTGGCCTGCTTCTTTAGGCGAATTGACTCAACGCTTGTACCTTGTGGCAGATTAATCACGATGTCCGACCGGACTCTATGTTGATTCTTCGTGCGGCTCAAGAGTTCGTTGGGGAAGATGGTTTCCAGGACTTGCTGGATAGCGTGCGCGACCGGATCGACGAGATTGAGAGCTTACACCGCACTCGGGAGCTCACGGTGCGCCACCCTCTTATTCACTCACGCTCGAGCTCTGACGCTATTTCGTAGTTCAAGGATCTTGGGAGGGGTGACAAGATTAAGCTCGAGGTTGACAAGACTGGTGACGAGGACAACGGGGTGCCTCGACTCGTTGCTTGAGGGCACAGCAAGCGCGACGGGAGGTGCAGCCTCTGGCTCCAAAAAGCCGCTCGTCTTGCCGACGCTCAGATCTGCCAAACATGCACATGAATAACTGTGCCGGAGACATTACCGGAGGCGGACGTGTCGAGTCGTGCGGGTGAGGATAGAACCTACGTCGCGGCTGTGGACTCGTACCTAGTAGTACTATACTGTATATTGCCCACTCGACGGGGCGCTCTGTATATACCCGCCTCTAATCAGCATCTGGACATGCTCGTACATTTTTCTATAATACCCTTCCACACTGGATTGGTCGAAGTCGAGTGTCAGTAATATTTGAAGGGATCCAACGAACCGGTCACCTGCTTGCGTGAGAAAGCCGTTGATTGGCGCTCGTTCGCGCCAGTGGTCGCGCTCGGTGTCGCGCGCGTCACTTCCGTCGCTTGAACCGCAACCACCACTACGCCTCTGCATCATCCTCTCCCAACATGGCGCCTTTTGGACTGAGTATCGGAGCAGATAAGACGAAGGTTTTTGAGGTGCGTCCGGTCGTGTGAGGTGGCGGTGATTGCAAAAGTGTTAAATCATGTTGTAGGTGGCAATTCAGAATGAGCTTATGAGGAGGGGATATACTACGGAACCTGGTATGCGTTTTCTTTGTTCTCACTCTATATGCCCTCTCCAGTTCTTCTACCCCTGCGGCATACCGGCTCCGCACCCTAGCCTGGTATCTGGATATTTCTTTGCTCGATGCTGACACCTCAAACAGATGATACCATGTCCGAGTATATCACGATCATGCTTATCAATAACAAGAGTCCAGGTACGTCTGATCAATTTTATATCAATGAAGAGGATGCTAAAAGGAGTATAGATGACATTTTGAAGGAATGTATAAGCTGTAAGTGCCCGCCTCCGAGTGTGGTTCGAGTCATTAAAACATGTCTCCCAGTCCTAGGAAACGACGTCGAACGCTCTTTTGTAGACTGGTTGTTTGAAGAAGCTGCGCGAAACGAGGCCAGTGGCGAGCCTGAGCCTGCTTCAGCGCCTCCAGCCGCAGAGTCCAAACCTGAACCGTCGACCTCAAGTGACAAATCTCGCCCTCCACCCAACGGTCCTCGCGTTTTCCAACAAGCTATTGGCCAGGCTCAAGCAAGTACTTCGCCAACAGCGCAAAAACGTACCGCTTCAGCGCGTTCCCCTTCCCCTACACCTGGCGGCCAAGGTCCGAACAAATCTCGACGTACGGATGCACCAACCGGCCCTCGTGCTATGCGTGATGAGCGCGGGCCTCGCGGACCCAACAGTAACGGCCCACGTAGTCTCCTCGAACGTGTCGGCCCCGCTCGCGCCGGCCCTCCGCCCAACAACTTCGGACCTCCCGGGCCCAACATGATGAACGGTCCGCCGGGTCCTTTCCCGGCTGGAATGAACGAGATGGAGATGGCGGCGCAGATGCAAGGGATGAACGGGCCCAACCAGCAGATGATGTTCCAGGAGATGATGATGAACCATATGGCTCTTATGGCGCAGATGGCTAGTGGTATGGGCATGTTGCCACCCCCTGGGATGATGCCGGGTATGATGCCACCGCAGGGTGGAATGGGGTTGGGTGGTCCTGGGTTCCCTGGTGGGCCTGGTATGGGACCTGGATCGAGAAATGGTCCGCCACGTCCTCAGCGTGGAAGGGGCGGAAGGGCAAATCAGGGTGGAAGGCCTGCACCTGGCGAACAGGGCTCACCAGCGCCCCCTACGCCTGTCGAAGGTGCACCGCAACTGGCAGCCCCTGCGCCTCAGCCGGTAGCCGCCGCATCACCTGCGCCACCGGCATTTGCCGTGCCCGAGCGCCCGCAATCACCTACTTTGTGCAAGTTTGGACCAAAATGCACAAATGCGCATTGTCGGTGGTCGCATCCGAGCCCCATTGCAACGGCTGAGAGTGGGGTGGTACTGAGTGCCGAAGCGTGCGAAGCCGGCGCTGGATGTACGGACAAAGATTGTATCAAGAGCCATGTCAGCCCTGCTGCTGCGAATCCTGCACTGGGTAAGTCGCCTTCTTGCATCTCATCTGCTGGAACAGACCCTGACTTCACCTCTGTAGCACGGCCGCAACGCCCTCCTCCGGCACCAGCACCTGCACCGGTATACGCACCGCCGCCAGCAGCTGGAGGTGCAGTCCAGTGCCGCTATGGTATGGCCTGTACGCGTCGGGACTGCTCATTCAGCCATCCACCGAATCACCCGCTACACAAATCCGCAACGTCCAACGTCCCGTGTCGCTTCGGCTCCGCCTGTACCCGTGCAACATGCACGTACCAACACCCGCCAGACCGCGTCCTGCCCGGACAGTTCCATAAGGGTTTGTCGCCTAGCGCGAACCAGAACCAGACGCACAATAAGAGCGCCGTGTTTAACAAGCCTGCGACGACTACAGAGACCGAGTTAGAGAAGAAGCTGAAAGCTATCCAGGAGGAGAAGGATAAGGTCAGGGAGGCAGAGGCTGCTAAGAAGGAGGGCGGCGGGGGGGATAAGGGCGTCGTCGCTGCTGCTGCGTGAAGTGGCGAAGCTGTTCATGGGCCGACGTGCACGCGAGGCGTTGATATTGGATGCGCGCACTGTCCTGACCGAAGATCTCGATTTCTCACTATGTAACTGTCAAATGTTCTCACAATTACCTGTCTGTCGCACTACCGATACTCTCTGCATGCTTACTCAAAGCACCCGACTCATGGCCTGGACTTACTATAACGCATCCCGTAGAGCAGCCATTGGTGTACGGGTTCTGGCCGGCTGCTCGGGCTTGAGGAGATGAATAAGGACTATAGGCCCGGTGCAGGGACATCGGAAGGCCTCTCTCCTCGTCTGCGTTTGTGTGGGTGAGAGTCCGCCGCTGAGCGCTGAGCGCTCGAAATGTGAGAGCATTCTTGTGCGACGGCGCGCCGCCGATTGAGGACACGCGCGACGATGACAGACTGCAGTCGGAATGGAGCGTACTCGATACAGCTCACCATGTACGCTTGTGAGGCCCTGTGCTCATGATAAGCCAAGCTGTGTGGCGGTGTAGCCGTCGACCAAGGTGGACAACATATTGGGGAGGGCGTCCCAGTTCCTGTACAATGTTGCCTACTTACCAGTCATCGACTCGATGTTCCGGGGTTCTGAATCTGAGTGTGTACCAGTCACCTCCCGAATCGGTAACATACGATCATCCGCAGTGGAACAGCAAGACTAGAGTCGATATCGGGCCGCTCAAACTCGTGGTTGAGCCTTCGAGGCATATATAGTCGCCAGGCGCGCCAACATTATTACTTGACGTTGACGTCGATGATCACCGCGTCGCTCAAATCGTTGTCTGACTTGCCCTTCTCGCTAGCCTCCTGTATTCGTGGTGCACGGTATACCGAAACTGTACGAGATAGAGAACGCCGGGGTTGTCGGTTGTCGGTAATGATAGGACGGAATATCGGAGCCCCGGATCCTGCTGTCGTCGGGACTGGGCCGCCGAAGTTCGAAGACTAACGAAGAACACGACGAGCGGGCTTGAGTCACCAAGACCGAGCTCGCTATATTTACCTGATGCCTGTCGCTCGTCGTTGCTGTCAAGACTCACTGTAGACGCTCATCATGGCTATCGCGCAGAAGACAGACAAGGTGCTCATCATCGGAGGTGGTTGCTTCGGGTTGAGCACCGCGTACCATCTCTTGAAGCGTGGCTTCTCCGACGTCACTGTGATAGACCGGTCGGCCACTCTTCCTGCGCCCGATGCTGCCAGCACCGATCTGAACAAAAGTACGTGCGATCGTCGTTTAAGCTCTCAAGCGCGCAGGTGGCGGCAACTGACGCGCCTATGATCCAGTCGTGCGCACGGCCTATAACGATATCTTCTATACGAAGCTTGCGCAGGACGCCATCGCCGAGTGGAAGAACGCCGAGGTCTGGGGTGACACCTATCACGAGTATGTTCTTCTAAGATCTGAAGCCTAAGCGTATGCTGACAGAAACCGATGAAGATCTGGCGTTCTCGTGCTTGGCTCACCGGAGCAGTCCGCTTATGCCGGCCTTGCGTACGAGAACGACAAGGCCATCGGAGCACGATTGACCGACCTGCCCGACGTCACTGCAATCAAGAGCGTTTTCCCTTCGACCGTGTCCGTCGCGGACTTTGAAGGTCAGAAAGGATACTTTAACGCCGATGGAGGCTGGGCCTTCGCGGCTCAGGGTGTGGAGCGTCTGCTTGAGCAAGTTAAGAAGCTTGGCGGGAATGTGATACCCGGCAAAGCAGCGACGGAATTGACGAAGAAGGATGGGAAGGTAGTGGGAGTGAAGTGTGCGGACGGAGAAAGCTTCGGTGCGGACGTAGTGGTCATAGCTTCGGGTTCTTGGACTGCGTGCTCCTTCCCAGAGCTTGATCTTGGCGCGAGATGCCTAGCCACTGGGTATGTTGAGTTTCTGGTTTCGTCTCGAGCGCCTGTGTTCTAACCGTACTGACGCTGCGCAGGCAGGGCCTCGTCACCCTGCAGCTTACCCCAGAGGAGGCAGAGCGGTACAAGGACGTGCCTGTGACTCTCGACATGGCCACCGGCTTCTACACGTTCCCCGTATGTTTGCAAACATACTCGGTATAGCGATAGTCTGACCCGCCTCGCAGCCGAATCACGAGAACATCGTGAAGATCGCTGTCCACGCGACGGGGTACAGCCGCTACGTCGAAGGACCGTCTAACCCCACCAAAATCTCTACCCCGCAAACTATAACGAGCCACGGCGAAGCCGGACTGCTGATTCCGCGGGACGTCGCCCGCTTCCTCCGCGAGCGCTTACGCGCGGTATACCCGGAGCTCGCGCAGAAGCCTTTCGTGATGACACGGGTGTGCTGGTCAGCCTTCTCTCGAACCAGGAAGTTTCGCGTCTTCTCTCAGATTAGCTTACTAGTCCACTATAGGTATACGGACTCGCCTGATGGAGACTGGGTCATCGGACCTCATCCATCCGCTCCCAACGTCGTGCTTGCGACTGCGGGCAGCGGGCACGCTTATAAATTCTTGCCTGTTATTGGACGCTTGGTTGCCGACCGTCTTGACGGATCGATGTCACCCGAAGTACAGGATAAATTCGCTGCGGATCGCGAGTTCGCCAAGGAGGACCTGTCACGTAGGAAGGAAGTGCTCAAGGATCTTGGGAGTGTTGAGATGTGCACGGCGGAAGATCTGCTTCCCTGAATCAGACGGAAGACGTAGAGTGTTTACAAGATGATATCTTCAATGTATATCGAATGCGTGCAAAATACCTAGAACAGAGAAATGGTCACCACACTTGCCTGCGACGCGTCTCGGCAATCTCCCTCAACATGTGATCGCGTTGTGCCCAGAACGCGACCGCGCGGTGGCGCGACGACCTTGAATTACGACCACCACCAGCTGCAGGCACCAGCTACCATCTGCACCTCTCCTGCATCTCTCGTAAACCTTTCTGTGCTCAGAGGATCTACGTACCGTGATGTCAAGCCTTCGGTACAATCCGTATAGCTTTGGCGCCACAGCGCGAGGTCCCATCCGACAACGTAGTCGGCGAAATGTACGGGGTGCTGGATGGCATAGACGCGGGTAAAGATACCTCTTCTTGGGCTTGGAAACGTATGGGATATTCAGGCTGACTACATGAACCCTAGCTACAGGGATAATGGTGACATGTGGATTAATGTGCGCATGGGCTCCTACGGCCATACACGTGGTCAAGACGTGAACGAGAGACTCACTATCGCGGAGTTCTGGCGACAGGTCGTCCGTATGTGTAACACTCACTGGCATGTATCTCTGACTCATGCAGCCGCAGGTGGCGTCGAGATGGAGGACGGTTTTCCACTGCCTGAAGGTTGGAGAATCGATTTGCAGTCTCGGAAACAATCCATCGACGGCACTTCAGACGAGCCCATCACTACGCTCTTCGATGGTGGTGAGACTGTCTACGCAAAGGTATGCTCCTCATTTATCGTCATATGTATCAATCCGATCTGAAGCATGATCACAATCGCATAGGTTTACGATGAAGACGACCGGGAACGTGTCTGGGACGGCATAAGCTGGACGTACCATACACCCCGACGTCGCTGATGGATGACCCTCTCACTCGCACTATCAGTGCTCAATACGCTAACCTGTCTAATGCTTACCCTCATATATTGCTGGCTCGCTCAAAATTCTACTAGCCTCTAATCGTAATGTATCTTACTCACATCCTCCGCGACTCCCCAGTCGCAGGCTATCTGAAACTCAATCCAGCTAGTCTTTTGTAACTAAATACACCCGAAGACACCAGTTTCGTGCGACGAAGACGTACGCTTGGAGGTACTATAAGGAGGTGAATCTTCGAGCTATTGATAGTACCGGTCCAGCGAGCCGAGCGCTCCGCCGGCTCCGCAGGATGTCGCTGTCCATAACGCACAAGCAACGCACAAGCGGTTTGTGCTACCTTTCTTCTAGACGCCGTCGGCTTTACGAGATTTGGTCAATGGGCGTGCCTAACGTCGGCAACGACCAGATTCAGGAAGCCGGTTCGATCCTTCATGAAGACCTTTCAATCAGTATGTCGAACTTGTGACGGGGATGTACAGGGTACTAATTAGCCGTCAACGGTAGACAACCGAGAAGACTGTACCCTGGAAAGGGAGCACGCTCCTTCAAGATTAGACCCGCAGAGGGCATGTGCCGGCTACGCCACGGTATTCGATCCGAATAGTCCCCCAATCAACGTCACTTCAAGAGTTGCATCTTTTTGTCGTAGAATGCGTCTGGATGTGGATGATAGAACGACACAATTCGCCACTTGGGCGTGTCCATGACAATAGACGACAAATGGGCCTTTTCAGTCATTGTAGCTCAAAGACATTTCCACCTAGTGTGTCCACATGCATACGACGCAAGATGCACTGCCTTGCGCCTTCCAGCTCATCGCTCCATGTACCTTTTCTGACCGTCGAACATGTCTCTGCAGGTCATCGGTCATTTGAGTGAGTGCGCCGCTCGGCACTCGTCGCGTTAACTTGAAGGCTTCGGCACAGTGTATGCCGACGCGTCGTGCCAGCGCCTGCGCGTACGTTCGCCAATCTGATTCTCCGCCGTATCAAAGTCTCCGAGTGTACGCCTCTGTGGCTCGGGCAAGATGGCTTACGTTCCTGACAGGCTATAGAGTCAAATTCGCAGTCTCACTTTCATAATGGAGTCAACGGGGGTGGAATGTCGTCAACAAGGCTGCTTAAACGTCAAGCGGGAGTACATGCCTATTGCCTCTACCGGTGTTCGCTACCGATGATCTCGCTTTCAGCGGTAGTCGTGTCTGCCGCTCCGCGTCAGACCGCGGGCCGGGCGAACTCTTGTCCTGCAAGGGCATATGGGCGCGGCTCGCTGCCCCACGACGCTACCAAAGCTCCGCACGGTCCGCTCGTACTTCTTTGTCAAAAAGGCTCTCAAGTGATATCTTTGTCTTGTTCCTGTGAGTATCTCACTGCTTCGTCCTCTGCGTTGAAGACTGACAACGAAGCGTTAGCCGCCTCCACAACGCTTCTGTTGGGTCCGGCCGCCTCCCCCACTTCTTGATGTCTACCGTGGCCGCCGAGGCCAAATAACCATGCACTCTGCTATTCGGCACATCACGAACGGATGTGACCTTTGCAGACGCGATAGACCGACTCTTTGTGTAGAGATGTTCTCATCCAGCATCCAGACACGATCAGCGCCAAGCATGATGTTCTCTAACGTACCACGTCTTCTCAACGTACCTTTCTCGCGCACCGATTGTATCACCGGAGTTTCCCTTCAGTCCATGCACGACTCGTCCGAGCCATGGTTAAGTGAGGGGCATCTTGAGAAAGACTACTTCCCGATAGGAGAGCGTTTCACAATGTCACAATGTTCAGCTGCCATAGTGACTGTTGTGCAACCGCGGATGTGCTAACAGTTTTTGAATCCCGAGAGCCCGACAACACCCAACGATAGGTGAGTAAGGCCGAATATGGACATAAATCTTCAGGGCCGTTGTAGCGCCGTCGGGGCAATCCATCCTCCGGAATAGACGCCCACGCGTCCCTCCCTAGCGTCTTGCTATCAATCGTTTGCATCGGTCGCACCACAACTTTCTGAGTACGGTAGCTCACACGTCTAAAGCTGGCGTCGTTCCTGGCGCAAGTCCGTACGGGTTTTCAGCGTTTAGCCTGTTATGCGTATGACTCTTGGCGTAGGAAAAGGGTCATTGTTCAGACGATAGTTGTCTTGGCGCTTCTCTTCCCTCGTCGCGGCGGGGCCCTAAGGCGCTTGCGCCAGTTCGTGAGTAATCGACACATGTTATCAATTGGCGAGTGGACGACAAGCCTCGCAAGAGAGACATGGCGTTTCTGACGAGGGAGGTCCGCAGCCGGGGCCATTCTCCTATTCACGAATACCCAATCTCACGTCAGAGAATCATAGAGAGATTTTATGGTGGGGATTGGATGCGTAGTAACTCTACGATGTCTCTAGACGTGCACCATTCAACCAAGTACAGGTGGTGGTTCTTCATGATGGTAGGTCAACGCCACAAAGCTACTAGGAGAGTTCAACCCTGCGTGGCACGAAAGCGGAGTCCACAGTACTGGGCGTGCTGTACGAGAGAACGCGCATCCTGGCCAGTAGACCCGAACCATATGTAGCATCGGCAAACACCGTTAACATGATTGTTCCTAAAGTCGCGCACCGCCTCACGCTCCCACGCGTGGCGGATGTCGGGTTGGCGTTTCTCTTGATTTGTCTCTTGCACCCATTATCGTCCAAGTTTCGTGATACAGCAATGTCTTCGGACCTTCTCCTGCATCATGCGATATCCATAACCTGGGTCCGGGTACCTTCCCATTGCCCCCCAGGTTCGCGGACTACGCGGTTTCGGGTAGGCTTGCAAGGTTAATTCTCCAACCTCGAATCTCCACCTTCCCGCTTCACACAGTCAATGCTGCACCTTCCATCCCCTTCTGGATATCTGAGGCTTGGCATCTGAAGCTGTAATCTGACGTGGCTCTATCATCCTGCATTCTCGCGCCGCCTTCTCGCACTGATTGACAAAGAAAGGAATGATACATGGATAATGTCCGAAGAGCTTTACAGTATCCATGCGAGCCCGGTGATCTTCCCTTGTCACGCCATTGCAGCGTTCCAAGCTCGATGCTGAGTTCTATCGGCTCTTTGGTAGCGGCGAGTTCAATGTGACTGGGCATCGTGCTCCCCGGCGCGGCGTTACGGGCGCACTTCCTTCAGGGTGGGATGGGAGGATGCATACCTGTCGAATACGGGCATGAACGCGGGCTTGTGGCCATCAAGAACCAGCCAAGACATTCTTGGGTTGTGTAAAGGATTGTTGTCGAATGCTGTGACCGTACAGTCCCATGTTGGGAGTTTCCCCTCCCGCAGCTGTCTCTACCTGAACTTCCACGGTTGCCCCGCCCTATCGGGCGGTCCTTCACCGCCAAGCCTTCTCGCAGATTGCTACTGCGTCCGCCGTAGACGCTCATGGAAATCCACAACGTCTGCATGATATAGACGTCTATCGAGCATTCGACAAGGATGTATAAAAGCCAGCCCGCGAGAGTTGTCTCACCAGGTCGTTTTTCAGCGTCTCCATCCACACCACTCCTTCCAACTCTTTCACCTCCCAGGTACTCGCACTTCTCAACAATGCCCGGCCTCGACTACAACGAGCTTCCTCACTCTACCTCTGCCACCCCGGCCCCGGCTCCCATCGCCCCCATGGCCGTAGACGCCGTCGATCCCGCTAACAAGCCGTCCATTACAACCGACTCAGCAGTCTACTACAACGCGCGCCTTGACCCAAAGAACTATCTGGAAGGCCCTCTCTCACACAACCCGGCAACCAGGCTCCGTCAGATGCTTGCCCGCCCAGGCATTGTCGTAAGTACAATTCATATGATGGGTGCATCATCCTTCTAAGTAGTAACGTAGGTTGCACCCGGTATCTGCGACGGTATCTCCGCGCGTTGCGCGATGGAGGCTGGCTTTGAGTGCTTGTACCAGAGGTAGGGCATGGCTTACATAGTTGCACTTCCGCCGTTGACATTCAACCTGTAGCGGCGCGGCCACGACCGCCTCCCGTCTCGGTATGCCCGATCTTGCTATCGCCACTCTCAACGACTTCGTTCAGGTCAGTACTTCTTCCGCATCTTAAGCATATCATGAGAGTGTATAGAAGCTGACGCCGCCTCTCAGAGCGCTTCGATGGTCTGCAGTCTCGACCCTACTATGCCCGTTATCGCGGATGCGGACACTGGCTTTGGTAAGTAACTACCTTATGGTGCTTTAAACCGGCTTCAATGAAGATTAGGTGGCCCCGCGATGGTCGCGCGGACTGTTACTCAGTACGCCAAGGCTGGCGTTGCAGCTTGCCACATCGAAGATCAGGTTCAGACTAAGCGCTGCGGTCACCTTTTGGGGAAGCAGGTCGTCTCCCGCGAGGAATTCGTCACCCGCATTCGGGCAGCCGTTCAGGCTCGCGATGCCATTCCGGGCGGGTCCGACTTCGTGGTGATTGCACGCAGCGACAGCGCACAGGTTCTGGGCATGGACGAGGCCATCTTCCGCCTCAAGCTTGCCGCTGATGCCGGGGCTGACGTTTGCTTCATCGAGGGTGTCCGTACCAAGGAGCTCCTCGAGCAAACCGTCGCCGCTCTCGACCCGAAGCCCGTCCTCGTTAACGTCATCTCTGGCGGTCTTACTCCCTCCTTCACCTACGGTGAGGCCGAGGCCATGGGCGCGAAGATCATCAGTCAGTGTTTCCTTCTCTGTGCGCTTGACCGCATCGCTCATTGTCTCCAGTCTTCTCCCTCGTCAGCTGCGTTGCGGCTGTACATGGCATCCGTGCGGCGATGCGCTCGCTCAAGAAGACCGGTACCGACTTCAGCTCGGCACAGGGCATGGACCCGAAGGCATTCTTCGAGGTGATGGGTACGTATTCTCCCTCCGCTCCGGTACACCTTACAATCATACTGACAATCCACTACTCAGGTCTCGACCAAGTTGTACAAGCAGATGCCCGGGCAGGAGGCAGCGCTTTCAACGTCATCTAAGCGGCTGCCGCTCTCCCTGTAGTCCTCCCCGGTTCAAACATGAATCGCGCTCGCATGCTCAATATTTAGATATCCTCCTCCTCAGTCGCTCCTTGGGTTCATGTTGTATGCTCGCATATGTTTGTATGTCATTGTGTATAGAGATGTACAAATGGGTTCTCTGCCGTTCTTCGTGTGAAGTCAAATAAGTACGAGATTGCCCTCGTCGAAGAACTCTGCCTTCCTGCCGCTCAATCAGCACATTGAGCTTTCACGGGTTTTGCAACGCCCAACTCACTTACCACCGCGCATCCTTCCCTAAGTAAGGGGTTTCGTTCATCTCGAAGGCGTATAGCGTATCGCGGACGTAGTCAAGGAATGTCGATCTTCCGGAGCTGGCACCTCATCCCAGCGATAACGCTCTTAGAGCGTCCGCTATGGCGTCTACGTCTTCATCGGACATCAGAGAGGAGTCGGCAGACTGCGCCCTCCTACCAGCGAAACCAGTATGAAGCCCCACTTCTGCAGGAGATTCAGTATCGGTCCCATCAATGTCCGGCAAGTGAACTGTAGGTGAAGAGGCGCCTGTAGTATGACGTTGCTGCGCGTCGGAGAAGCAGTCCGAATGGCGTCGGCCATCTCGGCCCGACACTTCCGCTGTTCGTTCGGCATTCACGAAAGAGGCGCCTTGCTGCATCCCAATCCCGGGACGAGCTGTCATGCACTGAGCCGCGCCTAAAGTTGAACATCCCTGTACCCGCATCGCGGGATCGTTGTTGCGCATGATTGTACAATAACCGGGCGCTTGTCTCGAGGTACCGCCGTTGACTGTAGCGCTTGAGCGTCCGTGTTGCTGGGCTTCGCCGCCAGATGAAGCTATCCCACACGTAGTTGTCTTCGCTACGTCCTCTGAAACGCATGTGAGTATGCATTCACCTAACCACAATGAGCGGAGCACGTACCTGGAAACATGTCTGAGCCATTCCGCGCCAATTCGTACAGCTCTTTATCATGAACTCCCGTATCCGCCGCTCGCGTTGCGAACAATACGTCATCGCACCCGTCGAGAACGGCCGGCCGTCTTGAAGCCAGTTGGACCACTCTCTCGATAAGCACGGCCGAGTGTACCAAGGCCACAGAGGCGACCTGGGATAGCGCCATGACAGATCGGAGAACGGAGGCGGCGGCAACACCACCCGAACTCCTACGAGACGAGGCGCCGCTCATCCGGGCGGCTGTACAAGGCGAATGGAGGTCGTCAAGGCATTCGAGTGATATGTGAGCTGTCAAGTCCGCGAGGCTGTCGAAGGAAGTGTTCGAGGTGGATAGCTCGTCCGATGAGGAGATCGACAGGGAAGACTGGCCGTCTATGGCGCGTAAAGCTGATGTCGTCGGTATTACGTCCTGCGCAGTGGCCTGTTCGAGTTCGTCTTGATTCACCCGACGTATATGAACGATCTCGATGACGCTACTGCGAGAGTCCCGCCTGAAATGCACCTCCAGAAGGGCTGAAGGGTTCTGAGGCGAGCGAATAAGGGCGACGAAGGGTGCGATATTGCCTGCATGGGATGTCCTGTTGAGCATCGCACGGCACGTACAGTAGTACGAGTGGCCATACCTTCATGACGGCTTCGTACGTTCTGTCTAGTCATTCGGCCGTAGAAGAGAATGATACCGGCCAGGATTGGAAAGGTCGAGGCCCACGCGAAGGTGAAGAGTCGCTGAATGGAGTCTGAGGAGTTGGCATATTGTTTGCAGTGATCCAGAGCTGATTGAAATGATACGAAGGAGGTATGGTCCAAACGAAGGAGGGCAAAGGGAGCGACTGAGCTGGCGGGAAATGATGTTGAGATAAGCTGCAAAGCAGAATGGTCCAGCTAAGTTTGGGGGGTCAGATGCGACACTACTCGAGCAAGTAACCACACACCTTTAGGTAATATAGCGCCTGTGTCGTGTAAGACTGGTGGACCACGCTGAGCACATCTCCAAGAGGAGCTGCCATATATGCGTGGAGACTTCTCCAAACCCTCCCATAACCTGCGTTCATCAACGCCACCAGCTCTGAAGGGCGAGCTATGTCCTTCAGTGCGTTGTGGGTGACGTTTGAATGAGCATATCTGGTCACGGAAGCGAGTCTGGAAGAGGAATCAGCAAGTGTCGGCCTCGCGGAAAGGCTAAACACGAGCAACGCCGTGAGTAGAGAAAGAGGTGTAGCGATGGCCCGCATCGCGGAGAAGTTAGATGGTAGTTTGGGTGAAGGGATAATGCATTTCACCAGGCTGGGCGGCGGAGGGGACAGTGCAGGAATGCAAACATGACAACACCACGTGGTTCGCGCGTATAGATGGAAGAAGCGAAGTGCGGGGAAGGATAGCAGCACTGTGTGAGGGTATTGATACAAGGTAGTGCGGATAGCTTACAAAACAATGCAGGGGATGTGGGCATCTATAATGATAACTTGAATCATGATCTCCGTCCTCGCGATCGCACGCGCTGCCAGTCTCCAGAAATAATCTCCACCAACGTCGAGTAGAGGCCTCGCGAGTGTCGCGCAACGTTTCCATCCTTCCAAAGCGGTACAGCCTGATAGACGATGTGCCGGGCCTTGCCCTCCTCCTTCCACAGGCCCTGCATCCTCCTGACCACGATGACCTGCTTTGCGTAGAGGTCGGCTGCAGCACCGTAGACGGGACCCATAGTACGGGCGAATTCTTCCCGCAGGTATGACCAATCATCAAGAGCGATGATCATTGTGGCAGTGGGGTCCAATAGATGGCCGCGGGGATCCAAATCGCTCATTGAACGCCAGATGGGCGGGTAATTGAGTGGCGCAAGAGATGGATCACGTCCTGAACGGGCGTCGGCGCGCCATACTGCCTCCCAATTGTAATGATTCCTCTGCCAATCTAGAGGGTTCCGCATCTCCGTGGACAAATGCCGCATGATGTCTCGACGTGACCTCGAAGTCCAGAGGTAACGGCCCTCTCGCCAGACCCTTGCCTCCTTCTTTGACTCTGGCTGTGGATGTGGCGGCGGGGCGGAGTTTGTCGGTGATGTGGTCGGTGGCGCTGAAGCCTTCGACTGCATTGACTGGATGGTTCGTGGCCTGGCAGGGGAGCGAAGGTGATCTAGGAAAGACGTTTGCGAAGGAAGTGGGAGTTTATCCGACCGTCGCCAAACGAACGGTTTCCGATTATTGACAGGATGGTTGGAGGGATAGTTGTAGTTATATCCCTGCCAGTCTCGGTGGGTACGGTCGACCAGCTCGTGCTCCAGCACATTGCGGAAACAGAAAGCGCGACATTTGGGCTCATCCTGTCTGTTCCGACCCAGATGCGTCTGATGACAGTACACAAAGCATGTCTCCGAGGTCGACTTGGGAATCTGCCCTGCGATAATTCATGGTTTAGTCCAATGCGCCTACGTCCAGTTCCGTCAGAAGTGCGCACCGTCGGGATCTAATGCGACCCGTAGTAATGGTGTAGCCACGAGAGTGCCGAGATAGGTTCGCCTCCTCTGAACGGGCTTTCCGCTACCCTTTCCCTTTCCACTGGGTCCAGAAGAAGAAGAAGAGGGACCAGACATGGTGGTAGCAGTCAGCCCGACGAATGGAAGTGGGACCCCAACGCGTGTGCGCGGGTTTGGTGCGAGGCGCGCCAAGCGGGATGCGCGGGCCGTCTGTTCCGAAACCACATTGCGCGAGACGCGCGACCAACGCGCCTTGCTCTCTACTTCCACCAGCGCCTTTGTGGGCCTATTTCCTGAATGGAAATCTAATGCTATGAACGCTCTTTGTGGCTCTACCTCATCGTGACTTCGATATTGCTGACTCATACGCGGTTTTTGGTCTGTATCCAGGGTGTTTGCCCGTACTATACTCGTACTTGCCCGAGATGACTGCCTTCCAGTGCGACTAGAAACTGGGACTATGCTTACACTTGCACTCTTCCAGGATGGAAGTACAAGCGATGTATGCAACGTGAAGCTCTACGCATCGTCTGTTTACTGGATGCGTACGCTTTCTTCCCTCACCGATGAAGGAGAGGTATCTGCAGCATCCGCCATCGTTAATTAAGATCATGAAGATGACATTGCACCGTCAAAAACGTAAATAAGGCAGTGCGCATGAACGCCACCCGAACATGCGAGACACTGATATAGTCCATGAAGTCCTTTGTAAAACTAAGCGCATCGTACTCATGCGACCTATTCTGGGGCAACGACGTCTTTACGCGGTGATCTCGAACACAGGGGAGACGTTGCCGCTATCACCGTAGACTGTACGCCAATGTGCACGACATCAGCTCAGAGCCCATTCGCACAAATATTAGGGAACGCACGAGTGATGGTGTAGTGGGTTCCCGCGAGGTTCTCGGGAACGGTCACGTCCTGCGAGCCAGAGCGGAGGTCGAAGCCGGAGGCAACTGCGAACACTCATCAGGACCAGCATCGGCGTCAACTGTCGCAATGCTCACGGGTGGCCATGGGGAGACCGTCGTCGCTCAGGACAATGGAGCCGCTGTTGGAGATCTGCGCGGGCGCATTGGAGGTGTCCCTTCGCCATGTATCAGCACGCGTTCAAAACCGCGGTGAGAAACCGCGTACCAGGTGACGGTCTCAAGCGCGCCTGACTTCCAGACGGTGCTCGCCGTCGGGCTGGTGATCTTGGGGACGAAGACGTCGAGAGCCGCCGCGGAAGCGAGAGCGACGTAGGCGGAGATGGCGATGATCGAGCGAGAGAACATTGCGAATGAAGAGAAGTGAGTTTCTGTAGGGCTGGAGAAAGTTAAACTTAAGAGGCGAAGTGCACTGACTGGTCTACCTCAAGACTGACCAGCCTTTATACTGTCAAAGTACGGCGTACGTCGTCCGTGTCGAGAGCACCGACGGACATAGACGGGCACCCTAGGCCGCGTTGCGTACGCGAAGAGTCGCAGCACGGCGGGCGGCGTCGCATCGTGTTCGGCTGCTAGCGAAGGCCGTCGGGCAGCACGGCTGAGTAGAAGCTCACGAGTGCTTACAGAGGGTGTAACTTTAGACGTTCGCTCAGCCAAGCGTGATGCATGCTGATGAAGGAGGCAGTTCTTCGTCTCCGTGGAGCAACGACCGCCGGATATGTACGAGTTGCCGTCGGCGTGTATGAGGTCTTCATCTAACTTATGATGTTCAGACGGCGCACGTTGGCCTATGGTGTCCTACACAATACTCGACGTCCTAGCTAAGGCGAGATGCCCAAAGCATGGTAGATTGAGAAATCCAGTCGAGGGACTGACGACCCCGAGATGAGAAGCTACATGCATGACATAGGAAGAAGAGCGCAGCCCATTGCGGGCGCAGTAACGTACAATGATCTAACTTGCGAGCGCGTCCAGAACATTGTCCTTCTATGTCAACTAGAAGCTTCTTCTATACTTAGCATATGCTTCGACGTGCAGAACCGACCTCGCCGCTCGCTGCGTTGCACTGAAAGTATCAAGAAGGCTGTAGAAAAGTGGTTTCAAATGAGGGCACAGACTCAACCTGAAGGTTTGCATTCCAAGCACCATCCAATATTCCTCCACTAGTAGCATTGACAAAGTACAAGTTGGCTCTACAGTCCGCAAGCCTTCTGCAGATCTACTCTCCACGCCCAAGCTTCGCCAACGCGCGCTCGGGACCCTGCTCGTACCACTCGTCGCGAGTGACCCAGAACTCCTCGCGCCCCTTCATGATATCCGCGAGCACAGCGCCGCCGAGGAAGACCATGTGCTTCCTGCGCGGCGGGTCCTCGATCCTGATCTTGAATTTCTACAGACGAACGTCAGCCTCGCTGTTCCTCGGCGTAATGCGCACGAATCGACTGTACTCACGTTCAAGCGCGACGGATCACCGTTCAACACCCTCGTCAAGTACAGCTGCTTCATCTCCTTCTCCAGCCTACTCGGCAATCCCGGGTACATGCTGCTTCCACCAGATAGCACGATGTGCTTGTACAGCTCCGAGCGGACGTCGACGGCTGCGGCTTGGATGGTCTGGAAGAGCATCTCGGCTACACCGGGTTGTTCGACGTCGACGAGATGCGGCTGGAACATGCATTCTGGCGCCTCGTAGCGCTCGGAGCCAACTTTGATTGTGCGGCCGTCCGGGAGAGTATAAGATTCGACGAGGGTGGTGGTCTCTTCGGACAGTTTCGCGTCAACGTCAAGATCGTAGCTGAAGGGAGACAGTAGTCAGCGACGCGTGCTCTTGTCAGCAAGTCTATGAGATGTGGCTGTACCTGACGTAGCAAAGCTTCTCCTTGATCTCGCGCACGGTCTCGAAGTCAGCGGTACGGTTAAACGCGTATCCTCGCATGAGTAATAGCTTAATGAGGTAGCGCGTTACATCTCGGCCGGCAATGTCGAGGCGGCGCGTTAGATGTGGCAGTGCGAAACCGTCGTACACGGGTACAACGTGCGTGACACCGTCTCCGGAGTCGACGACAACACCAGTCGTGAGACCTGTATAAGCAAGGATCAGTACAGCCACGGAGTACAATATGGGATTGAGTGTATTCACCCTGTGCGTAGAGTGTCAAAACGGCCTGAATAGCGACGTACACGCCCTGGAATCCATACTCTTCGAACATGACCTGCGCCATCCTCTGCCTGTTGACCTTCGGGTTCATCGGCGGTTCCGTCAATAAGACCTTCCTCCCAGCCGGATCGATGCGCAACTTCTCGGTGAAGGTATAGTCCCAAAGATGTTTCATGTCCTCCCAGTTGCGCACGATGCCGTGCTCCATCGGTTGCGTGACTTGTAGGTAGTTTCGTAGTTCGGCGGCTTCGTCGCCGACCATGATGTCCTTGATCACCGCGTCGCCGACGCGCTCTTCGGCGCGCAAAATAGGTCGACCAATGATAGATGGGAATACTGTATATCATTGAGTATGAGCATATGAGAATAACCGAGGATCGCGCACCATGTTCGGGAAAGTTGGACCCGGCGTATCCGACTTTAACGAACTAGGAATACAGTTCAAGCTCCAGACACCGGATATTATACAAGCACACATACACCAGTTCCGTTATCGACAACGAGCGGCACAGAGGGATCCATCCTGGATCAGCAGACACGTCGGAGAGATAGAGGGAAGGAGAGAGATGCAACCGACCGACATGCCCTGCGCGCGCATCATGGCAGGGCGCATCAATTTCCAACAACACGGCTCGGTGATCTCCGATCAATCCCGCTGCCGCGCACGCCCAAAATTCGTTGACGCGTCCGAAACAACTTTCTTTCTTCCAACCACCTCCGCGCAGAGAATCGCCGTCGCAGCACACACACAGAAGTCCTCGTGGCTTTATATCTTGAAGCTGTGGGGAAAGTCCCCGGAGACGCAGGCTTGTACTCGTTTACCGCCGCGCGCGCACTAGCGGAAAGCGGCTGGTTGTTAACACGGCCAGACTCGCGCGCGGGGCGCCCTCTGTGGAGGGACCTGCGGCAGCGCGCATGGCTTATAACGCGAAGATATGAGCGGGTCATGTCGTCGCGCGCATTGTTGCTCGTAGACAAAGTTATGCGATTGCATTCTTCCTTGTGGAGGGTGTAACGGAATGGGGCTCACTCCTGCGCGGGGGCTTCGGAATTTTTTGCGCTTCTGGCTAGTCTTCGTGACTGCTCGTGATGGAGATGAAGGGTGCGGAAAGGTGGAGGGTACGGGATGGGATGGTGAGTAAATCTACTCCAACGCGCCTTGACATGATGTTCGAACTTTTGTTTGAATTTCTTCAAGGAGTATACTCTACCTCGCGTAGAGGCGGGCTCCAGAACATGACACCGCTGATCTTTCAACATTGATTCATCGTTGTGCTTTACGGCTTTGCTGATATTGTTTCGCAGGTCATTGCAACAACGCATCTACGCGAGACGTCGAGTTGCGGGTGTTTGGACTATAGAGTATTAGGCTCAATGTATCATGTTTTCTAACATATGAGTTCGCACGAATGCCACGCTGATCGTTATGCCATTATACTGCGACAGAAGTAAGACATCTTTGCGCTCGCCCACGTCAATGGTCTGCGCGGGTACACGATTGCCATGGCCGAGAGTGCGCGCACGTAGCTTTGACGATGCAAGTTGGCGTTGAGCCGCGAAACTTCGACAAGCGTGCGACATTACTTGCTTCCATCTCCACAAACTGCGATGCTATATTGCTTTGGCCATCTTGCTGACCTTCACGCTGACATTTCATGTTTGGCTGACGAGATGAACTTCCTCTTTGGCAGCCTCACCTCGGCCTGCAGCATTCGTGGCGCATCACATGCATCACATCGCGCGGCGTATCATGACTTGAGTTATTAGTGAGACGGCGAGATGGATGCGCCCTCGCGAGATGTACGCCGTGGACGTGGCTTCTAGCCGGCATATGTACACCCAAAAGAGTGTTCTGGGCGCGCTCACATGTCAGATCGGTGTTGGTAAATACTACCGTGCCGAACTGCGATCCTCTTTGGACGCACTTGACACACTCTCACGCATCAAGTGTAAGCACTTCATTCGTACTGTGGCAGCCGAATGTGTCTGACCCCTTGTCCAGAGAACGAAGACCCCGATTGTCCTCACGCCTGGCCGCACCACCTTCAGCCTATGAAGTGGCTGTACACAATGTATAGGAGAAATACTCCGCCCAGACCATCACCAGCCTTGATCACCTCACCCAAAACCCTTGCTCGCTCTCACATTAACGGCTACAACCCTCCGTGGAGTGCATTGGCGCCCCTGTTCATCAGCAAGGCTTACAACAGACATTCATTCAATGCAGGGCCTCGAGTTCTCGAAGCGCCTATGGGCTTCTTCTACTCGACTATACAGGCCGTCGGGCGGGTCATCTGCCCGAGCTCGATGTGACGCCTCACGTCGTAGAGCTCCTTCGCGAGGACGCGACGCGGCGCATGCTGCCCGTCTGTGCTGACCAGTTCTCTGTACGCGGTCTGTGTGCGCCGTACTTCTACGGTATAAGAGCTGGTTGTGCTCGACGTCTAACACCAGTCAGTGCATCCTCAGTCGTACATCTTTCTCGATCACAATGTTCTCCCGCTCCATCATCGCCATCACCGCCTATGTTGCCCTCGCTTCGGCAGCGGCTCTTGACGTTTTCGTACCCAAGATCACCAGCCCTACGGCGGCCACCGTCTGGAAGTCGGGCACCGTCGAGACTGTCACCTGGTGAGCGGCTTCCACTGTCGAATCGCTGACAGGTTGGCTGACTGTGTCGCGTGAAGGGACACCTCCAACGCTCCCGTCAACATCTCGAACAAGGGCTCTATCGTGCTGAGCGACGATGGGTTCCCCATGGACACTCGTAAGTCTTGTGGCCACCACTCAGCATGCTCGAACTTGCACTGACTAATGCACCACGATCCAGTCGCTACCGGCTTCGACCTTCGCTCTGGCTCGCAAGCCGTGAACGTCCCCAAGAACCTCGCGGGTACCAACTATACCATCACCCGTACGTCCTTCATGAAGATTACTATTTGGGGAGCTTGACTAATGGCATGCTCTACTTAGTGTACGGAGACAGCGGCAACATCTCGCCTAAGTTCCGCATCGTGTCATGAAGCAGACGAATTGCTTATCATTCGGATAAACTCACGAAGGACTTTCATGGACTGTATCGCGTATATCTTCTGTACCCGGGGCAGCCCGTGGCGCTTTGGCGCAACCGCTGGCTTATATACTTAGTGTCTTAATGACATGGTCGTCGTCTCTGCGCATGAGTAGCGAGAAGCTTTGTCCTAAATCACCTCTGGGCGAAGTGCTCCTCGAAGTTGTGGGCTAGGCGCCGCGCCCGCAACATCAAACCGGCCCGACATCCGCGTATATAATCCCATCCCGCGCTGCAGTCTGCAACGCCCTTTGCTCTGAACGCAAACACCATGGTCGCATTTTCCAGTAGTACTCTATGGACGCCAGTATATCCCTATGTCATACCTCTCCGGCATCCAGAAGAATGGCCGTCTTTGTCATACCCTGCCCTTGTTCAACAATATATCCGGCAAATCTCCTCCGTCCAATCTCGATAGCGGGTAATGCAAGCAATCTCGCGGACCCGCCGGCCCCTTGCGGCCATACATGCAGGCTCGGTGTATCCACTCGAGGTTGACTCGAAGATACCAAGATACCCAATGCCCAGCTCTTCGTACGCTGCGCGACTTCGTACCAAAGCATTGAACCACTGTGTACGGCTGCGGGCTGAGCGCGCAGGCGTCACGGTCCACTGCGTCGACGTGCGCGGGGCGCAGCGTTATATTTGCAGACGCGCGTGCAACCATTTCGAAATTTGAGGGCCGACCGAGAGGGTGCGCGTCCGTTTATTATTGATGTGGGCCCACAGGAACGCTCCGCGCGTCGAAGATAAGCAAAGGATCTGGAGCCTTGCCACTGCGCACACTCGTTCCGTCGGTGAGGTCGACGTCGATATAAGGGTCCTGGCCATGCGATGTGTTCGGGTCTTCGCTGCCGCCTCTCTGTCCAGCTTTTGCTCCAAGCTTGGTCCTGAGCGCTCTAAGTGATGGCGTCGCCAGTTTCGGACCCGGAGAAGAGGCGCGAAAGCGTTGACAAGAAGGAAGAGCTCGCGTCTCCGACCTTTTCAGAGTCGACCAAGGCCGGGAGTGTCGTAGATGTCGAGAAGGTCGGCGCGGATGCGACAGTGCATTATTCGTTTCCGCGGAGAGTCGGCCGGTGAGATACGTCTGCTCACGCTATGTGTGCATAAGCTGAACGTTGTGATGTAGATCGTTCAAGGGCTTCTTCGTTCCTCTGGACCCACCACCACCACGCGCGAACTTGGACGACGCGCCTCTCATCCCAGAAGCCAGCGCCAGCTTTCTCAGCCTTCTTACCTTCCAATGGATATCTCAACTCCTTGCCCTCGGCTACACGCGTCCGCTCGAAGCTACAGACCTATGGAAACTTCAAGATGAACGCTCGTGCGCTTACATTGCGGACAAGATTAACGCCTCGTTTGACGCGCGGAAGATCAAGGCGGACGAATACAACGCGCGGCTATCGAGCGGGGATATAAAGCCGTCGTTGAGGCAGCGCGTGTGGTGGAGTGTGAAGGGTGGAAGGGAGGCGAGGGAGAAGGAGTGGAGGGAGAAGAGCGGGAGGAAGGAGGCAAGTTTGGTTTGGGCTATGAACGACGCCATTAAGAGCTGGTACTGGACGGCCGGTATACTTGGTTGCTTTGGAGAGACGGCGCAGGTTCTGACGCCGCTATTGCTGAAGGTACGCATTTGTGCATTCGCAGTGTGCTCCGCATACTCATCGATGTATGGCCTCCTATAGAAACTGGTCGCCTTCGCGGACAAGTCCTATGCAGCCTACCTTGCTGGCGAGCCTGTCGAACCCATCGGTCAGGGTATAGGCTACGCTTTCGGTATTCTCGGTCTCCAGCTCTTCGCGTCTATGGCCATCAACCACTACTTCTACCGGAGCGCATCGACGGGCGTGCTTCTACGCGGTGGACTGATTAACGCCATCTACAACCGCTCGTTGCGCCTCACCACTCGTGCACGCGGTAGACTGCCGAATGGCAAACTCGTCAATCATATTTCCACGGACGTCTCTGTGAGTACTCTCACTTGATACGTGCACATGTCACCCTTGCTGAGACGATCTACAGCGTATCGACTTCGCTTGCGGCTTCTTCCACTTCAGCTGGATCGGTCTCGTCGTCCTAGCAGTCGGCATTGTTCTCCTCATCATCAACCTCGGACCCTCCGCTCTAGCCGGTATCGCGTTCTTCTTGCTCATCGCGCCCACTCAGGGACGCATCATGAAAGCATTCATTGCGATGCGCATCAAGACGATGGTGTGGACGGATAAGCGAGCCAAGCTGCTGCAGGAACTGCTCGGAGGCATGAAGATCATCAAGTTCTTTGCGTGGGAGGATCCGTTTTTGAAGAGGATTGCAGAGTACAGGAAGAAAGAGATGAGGTCCGTGTCTTGGTCCTCTTACAACGCAGAGTCGTACATGCTAACGCTACTTCGACTAGCTACATTCGCTACCTACTGATGATTCGCTCTGGCAATACTGCCATCGCCTCATCTGCGCCGACCTTGGCCGCTGTCATCACCTTCCTGGTATACGCTGCTTCGGGCCACAGGCTCACGGCCGCGGACGTATTCTCCTCGCTCTCGCTCTTCACGCTGCTGCGGATGCCGCTGATGGTCATGCGTACGTTCTTACATCTTCTCTGAGCGCTACGATACTCTAACATCTCTGCATATAGCCATGTCCATGAGCGCGTCCGCCGACGCTTACAACGCCATCACCCGCCTCCAAGACGTCTTCACCGCCGAACTCAAAACCGAAAACCTAATCATCGACCCCACACTCCCTAACGCCGTCGAAGCCTCCCACGCATCCTTCACCTGGGACACCCCTCCACCCGAAGTCAAAACCGGCAAGAAGGCAAAAGCCGAAGCGAAGAAGGCCGCGAAGGAGCTGAAGGGCAAAGAGTCTGGTCCGAACGCGGACGACTCGGATGTCGCTGCACAGGACAAGCCGTTCGAGATTACGGGTATCGACCTCAAGATTCCGAAGGGCTCGCTTGTGGCGATCGTGGGGCCAGTGGGGGCGGGAAAGACGTCGTTGCTTCAGGGGCTTATTGGGGAGATGAGGGCTACGGCTGGGACGGTCAAGTTTGGTGGTGATTTGGCGTACTGCTCGCAGAGCGCTTGGATCCAGGTGCGTTTTGATTTCCGTTTGAAGTCGTGGGAAAGGATTCTGACGGAGTGTTAGAACGCGACTATTCGTGAGAATATTTGCTTTGGGCGGCCGTTTGAGGAAGAGCGGTATTGGAAGGGTTTGCCCTTGTTGCTCTCTCGACGCGACTTGTGCTAACGGGTTGTCATAGCTGTGCACGATGCATGTCTCGACGCCGATCTGGACGTACTCCCCGCGGGTGACATGACAGAAGTCGGCGAAAAGGTAGACCACCTCCCAGACGTAATGCGCAGGGCACCTTCTGACGTTCTGCCCAGGGCATCTCTCTCTCCGGTGGTCAGAAACAGCGCGTCAACATCTGCCGTGCGATCTATGCCGACACCGCCGTAACGATCTTCGACGACCCTCTCTCCGCCTTAGACGCCCACGTCGGCGAATCAGTCTTCAACAACGTCCTCGCCGGCGACCGCGGCGACAAGACGCGTATCCTCGTCACCCACGCACTCCACTTCCTTCACCAAGTCGACAGAATCTACTGCATCCTTGACGGCCGCATCGTCGAACAAGGCACCTATGACGAGCTAATCTCAGCAAAGGGCGCCTTCGCGGCTCACATCAACGAGTTCGTGTCGCAGCAGAACGAGGAAGAGCAAGAGGAGAAGGAGGAGGACGCCGTTGAGGAGGCGCCCGTACATGATCCGGAAGTCGAGGCGGAGAAGAGGAAGAAGAGGCAGGCGGCTGTGAAGGGGAAGGCGCTGATGCAGCAGGAGGAAAGGAGTACGGGCGCGGTGGCGTGGGAGATCTATAAGGCTTACTTCAAAGCGGGGAATGGGGTCGTTACGGTGCCGATATTGTTGGTGGCGCTTGTGCTTACGCAGGTCGCGACGGTGTTGTCGTCGTATTGGTTGGTATGGTGGGAGTCTGGGTGCGTACATAGTCTGTTTGTGATTGAACACCGCAGCTGACACTTCGTGCAGAACCTTCAACGAGCCACAAGGTTTCTACGTGAGCAGCTTTGGTGTTCTCAGCGCCAGTCACCGATCTGACCGCAGCCATAGATGGGCATATACGCTGCGCTTGGCGTCGGACTCGCCCTCTGTGCCTTCGCTAACGGTGTTGCCTTCGCCGTCCTGGTCTACTCCGCCTCTCGCAACCTTCACCTTGATGCCATCACGCGCGTCATGCATGCGCCCATGTCCTTCTTCGACACAACACCCCTAGGTAAGCATATGCACCTCCCAGAATGACACTAGAGCGCTGACTAGTGGATAGGACGTATTATGAACCGGTTCTCCAAGGATATCGATACCATGGACAACACATTGTCAGGTCAGTACTCGTTCTATCCCAGTATATGTTGTCGTGTGCTGAATCGTCCGACTCTCTAGACTCGGCTCGCATGTTCCTGAGCACCGTCTCGAACATCCTCGGCGCTATTATCCTGATCGCTATCGTCGTACCCTGGTTCCTCATCGCCATCGGTGGTATTCTCGTACTCTACGCGTTGACTGCCGTCTTCTACCGGAAGAGTGCGCGCGAGATCAAGGTATGCCTCGAACGTCTCCGGTCAGCATCGCGCTCTGACATCCATGACTCACAGCGCCTAGACGCGATCCTTCGCTCGTCGCTCTACGCCCACTTCTCCGAGAGTCTCTCCGGTCTCTCCACCATCCGCGCATATGGCGAAGAGCAGCGCTTTTCGACGCAGAACAAGGAATTGCTTGACACCGAGAACAGAGCTTACTACCTCACCGTCGTCAACCAACGTTGGCTTGCTCTCCGTCTCGACCTGATGGGTACGGCATTGACGTTCTGCGTCTCCATGCTCACCCTCGGCACTCGCACATCTATCTCTCCGGCTGAGACCGGCGTCGCGATCTCGTACATCCTCTCGGTCCAACAAGCCTTCTCGTGGACAGTCCGTCAGCTCGCCGAAGTCGAGAACGATATGAACTCCGTGGAACGCATCGTCTACTACGCACGCGAGGTCGAGCAGGAGGCGCCGCATAAGCTCCCGAAGGCTAAGCCCGTGGCACCGTGGCCGAGCGCTGGGCATATTGAGATGAAGGATGTGGTGCTCAGGTACAGGCCCGAGCTGCCGCCTGTGCTGAAGGGCTTGAGCATGTCCGTCCAGGGCGGTGAGAAGATCGGTATTGTTGGGCGGACAGGCGCTGGGAAGAGTTCGATCATGAGTACGTCATCACTTCGCAGGCGTGCAACTCGGTTCTGACTGTGAATACAGCCACTCTCTTCCGCATCGTCGAGCTCTCAGAGGGCAAGATTGAGATTGACGGCGTCGACATCTCGAAGATCGGCCTTGAAGACCTGCGCCAAGCGCTGTCCATCATTCCACAGGAGGCTCAGCTCTTCTCCGGCACTCTTCGTAGCAACCTGGACCCATTCGGCTTACACGACGACGCGCGCCTATGGGATGCTCTGAGGAGATCATATCTCGTAGACGATATACCGCTGAAGGGCTCCGATGGCAAGGAGGAGATCCCCGCTGGTGCTTCGACGCCGAACTCTGCGCCGAGATTCACGCTCGATAGTCCAATCGAGGATGAGGGTGGCAACGTATCTGTCGGACAACGCTCGCTTGTGTCGCTTGCGCGTGCGCTCGTGAAAGACTCGCGTATTCTCATCCTTGATGAGGCAACTGCGTCCGTCGACTATGAGACCGACCGCAAGATCCAGGAGACGATCGCGACCGAGTTCAAAGACCGCACGATTCTCACTATTGCCCGTAAGTGACTCTGAATTCGAGAGGGAGAGCTGTACTGATATGGGTGACAGACCGTCTACGCACTATCATCTCCTACGACCGGATTTGCGTCATGGACCAGGGCACTATCGCCGAGTTCGACACGCCCTCTGCACTCTTCTTGAAGGAAGACGGTATCTTCCGAGGAATGTGCGAGCGCTCGAGTATTACGCTCGACGATATCCGCCTTGCAGCAAAAGAGCGCCAGTATCACGACGAAAGATGATTTGAATGGATTCAATAGCCCCTACTACTTACACACACTTCTTCACTTGTAGCATATAGAACTTTGTATCGCATATAGACCTTTCCATCCGCGCCACCTTACATCCAAACGCTCCGAAACCTGTTCGATGATCGTACAGCTCAGTGGGCTGATACCGGCTCTGGATCTGAGCACCTAGTGTTGCCGCCTCCGGAACTTGAGGTCGATGTCCGCAGGTACGAAGTTGCCGTTAAGGCATTTGTTCGGAGGATAGTCTACGCCGTCCTCGAAGGCCACGTCATAGTCGAGTACGATGTGGGCCAGCAGGCACTTGAGCTCGTTCGCAGCGAAGAATCGCCCAGGGCTGCAGTTGCGTGTCAGAGAGGGCAACGTAGAGGGTAGCAAGCGCGCGCTTACCAGGCATGACGTCCGTGTCCGAAGTTGATGAACTCGGTGGATGTTGCGACGAGCTGATGCTTGGTACCTTCGCCGTCTTCGTCTCTCATGGAGGAGAAGCGCCACGGGTCGAATATATCCGGGTTGGCATAGTTCTCCTCGTCGTGGTGCGTGTCGTACTGAGCACACGCGATGAAGGTGCCTTTGGGGACATGGATGCCGTTGGAGAAGGTGAACGGTTGGAGGGCGTAGCGGGACATAGCGACTGTGAACAAGGCGTCAGCCGTGTTTCGTTGAAGCCGTCACGTATGGAGGTACTCACGAACACCGAGCCCGGCGTAGCGTTGCTGTTCGCGGAGGAAGCTGTCGATCTTTCTCATCTTGCCCATGGAGGCCTTGCTCCAGCCGTTCGCCCGCACGATCTCCTCAACCTCCTCTCGCAACTCCTTCTGCCACTCGGTATGAGATGCAAGGTGATACAAGGCCTGCGTCATGTTCTACGACCACAGATCGTCAGAAGGTACTTAATTAAAGACATTGGATATGACGCACGAGGGAGGACGTGTGAATAGCGGCGAAGTTGGTGGACATCAAGCGCTGGACGAAGATTGGTTTTGGTACACAAGTATGTCAGAAAGGCGTACCCTGCAGTAATCTTGAGGCAATTGCTTCTGACCATCCTCATGGTCCATGAGCCATTGAAGGAAGTCGTTCGGACGGTCCTCCCACTTGTCACCGTACGTTGTCATCATGCGTTGGCGCTCTTCGCTATCGATGCAGTGAGTGGATGGACTTCAGTGAAACAGGGTACACGCACATGAGTGGCTTCATCAGAGCGAACCCTTTCCTGTGCGACGATGGTACCTTTGTGAAGAGCTTTCCGGCGATGCTATGAAGGTCATCGGGTAAGACGTCCGCGCATGCGAGTGATGAATGAGACTACGAACGGTTTCAAGAACTCAGGGAAGAGGCGAAGGATCTGAGCGCCGATGACCGCATGGAGCGTGAACTCGATGTTGAGTTTGATCCATTCTTCGTTGCGGCCTGTACGGAGACGATCAGTCCATGCAACACGAAGGATGCCAAGATCACCTACAGAGCGGCAGACCCACGAATAGACGGTTGCTGACACGGCAGATGACGTTCTGCAGCATGGGCTGCGTGCGCACCTTGACCCATTGGCCATCGTCCTTAGTAGGAATCAAGTCACGGAAAGCGGCGATCGTTTCGTCGCGGATATCGTCGAAGAGGACGACCAAGCTCCTGGTCAACTGTGTCTTGGCGACACTGACATGATAGCCTGTTCCCACACCTGGCCCTAAGGTGTACTTGATTTGCTGACGCTATATAATACCTCAGGATCTTCAACAGACACTGGCTTCGAGGAATGGCATACCTGTTCAGTGGCCGCGACGAAACTAAGTACCTCATCCGGCGCTTTGCGAACCTCGTCGATGTACTGCGCGCCAGCAGCGATCACGGCCCAGCCGTCGATGTTCGCGACCTTGAAGACACCTGGCTTGTACTGCACACGAATCAGTCAATTTCCAACGACAGGTGTGATGACGCATGCACACCTTGACGTAGCCTTCGTGTACCATGTCCCTCGCATCGGTAATGAACTGGATGGCTGAGATCCAGGATAAAAGTGGCTCCGAGTATCCAACAGTGGGGATGGCGGAGAACTATTGCGCTTACGTCTTAACATGCTGTCAGACGGACCCGGGAAATCTCCACGCTCACCTTCAGGTTGTAAACATACCACCGTATGAAAGAGATAGCAGAGAGTGTTGCAACACCACCAGCTACTTGAGAGGCGGTCACTGAGCCAGCAAAGTCGGTCACCGAGTCGAGCAGCGACATGATGCAAGGATCAAGAGGCCAGTGAGAGTAGGATGGAAGGGAGGATCCGCGTGTATTTCAACCTACATCGCGGTCTTTATAGCTCCAGGAAATGTGGGGATCTGCTTCGGCGAAGTCGAACCAGTTACCAGCCAGGGACGGGGATTCGCGTTCACGAGGACGGCTGCCCAGCCGTTGAGATCGCTTCCTGTGCATACGCAGTCGGTCCTGACGTGGGATACGGGGGAAATCTGTTCATTCAAGTGAAATACTGAGGGGTCCCGTGAGCAAGTAAGAAAGAGTATTCATGACTAGCCAGCTCATCAGGGTACGTGCTGGTATGTGGCCACTCGCGAAAGCAGAGACGCGTAATTGGTTATTGCGGGAATTGCATCACGGAGATCGCCGTGCAACAATGATGCAATTCTAATCTTGCGACCTTCTTCCATCATCTCATCTGGAGTTTGGCTATGGGCGTGCACGGCTTGACGACATACCTTCGAGAGAACAAACGCCATCTCTCTCGTAGCGTCCAATTCTCCCCACAGTCTGAGGCCAAAGTCCCAGTACCGCTAATAATCGATGGATGGTCGTACGTTGCCCCTGACCCGATCAATGCCATCAACTCATGCATGAATGTAGATTGATATATGCCCTTTACGACGAAAGCAGGCAGCCATGGGCGTTTGGAGGAGAGTATGCACTCTTTCATGATGATCTGCAAAGGCTCACTCGAGCGTGGCTGTCTATGGGCTTAAAGCCTTACTTCGTGTTCGATGGTGTGTGCAGGTCATGACGATTATCGTTGGTTTGAACTGAGTTTTCCTAGGCCCATATCCTCCCCTGAAGCACAAGACGCAAATTGCCCGTGCACATCAAAGCATCATCCAGCCGTCCATCCTGTTTTTCAGGACATCTTCGACTTCTCGATCCACAGCTCGTTTCATGCGCGAGAATGCGATTCTACCTCCACTCTGCTATACGACGACTCTGACAGCCCTTCGCGACCTCGGAGATGAAGTTGAACTTCACATTGCCGACGAGGAGGGAGATCCTTACATGGTGGAACTTGCAGCACGGGTTGGTGGCTACGTGCTCGGACAGGACTCCGACTTCGTCGTATTGAATGCAGAGGGATACGCAGGATACATACCAATGGATGAGATGCTTTGGATGACATCTGTCAATGGGCCTGCAAATCAGAGTACTTCAGATGACGGATTCGTTGTCGCACGTCCGAAGGGCAGAGGCAACAAGGCTTCAGGCCCCGATGCAACACTGGGCCTATTTCCTCCAACTTTTGGTACTATCGTATCCTTGCAGTGCTCTGTGTACAGCCCCAAAGCTCTTTCTGCACATCTGCGGCTACCACTATCTCTTCTTCCGGTTGTCGGTGCACTAGTCGGAAACGACTATACTGCGGAACGCCGTCCTGTGAACAACATCTTCTTCGACCGGGAAACAACCTCTGCCCAGCGCATTGCACGTGCCGCGATGGCAGTATCGTCTGTTCTTGCATCTGCGAATACCCTAAAGCGACAGAAGCGGCCCCTGAACAGCATCATGGACGTCATTGAGGAGTCTGTCGATGTACTGCTCGTGCGGGCACCGCCTAACTTCACAACTGGAGAGCGAGCGACGCTCATAGAGAAGACTGTCGAAGCTACGCTCCAGTATGCAATCCCCTCACGGGCGTCCGGTCCTGAGACAGACCTCTGGCGAACCCCCTTTTGCGCGCTGCATCTTCCTGCCGCGTGCCCTCTCGTGCAATACATGTCGTTCCCATTGGACAACGACGTCGAGGACGAGGAAATTCGCCCTTTCCGAACCTCCGTCCGCCAGAAATACATCAGCGCATACCGTTGTGGACAGCTCAGTCCGCGCATAGTCGATGCGCTTCATACCGCGACGGCTTGGCCCCGACAATTCCTGGAGAATCCCGATCTGGAGTGTGTGGCGCGTTCTATCGGGAGGCCTCTGCGCGAGTACGCGTATGCCATCATTGAAGCTGGTGTAGGCCTACCTCTACCGAAGGGAGATGATGATGAAGACGGCACTGTCGATGGATTGGAGGGAGACTCTGACAGCGACTCGGACGAATTGATCGATGTCGTGGAAGAGGATTCCGAAACCGATGAGGCCGAAGACCCGCTCGCGCCCCTACACGGCGCTCTCCAGAAGCTGCGCCTCGACTCTGGTATGACGACGGACTCGTCCGCCGCGTCACAAGCCACCTCTGCCAATGTTTCCGCGCGGCGTGTAACTGTCATTGAATATATCCGGAGGGGTACCCGCTTGGCCGACGAGCAGGTTGCGGTCCCCTATCTGCCGCGTTTGATCGCATCATTAGGCGGCGAGGATGTTTTCCACGCCGACATTTCTCGTCCACCCGCGTTGTGGCACGAGGACTCGAGGCTTACTCTCTTCCTCCGCATCGTCGACTCAGATAACGCCAAAGTACGCGCACTATCCTCAGTTGAGCTCAGTCCGGTACTGGCACTACGGCATGTCGTACGATCCCTCGCGAAGCGCGCAAGTGGAGTGGGCGCCAGTCGTGAACGCGAGGCAGAGAGGTGGACCCATAAAGAAGCGCGCGCATTCCTTGCGGCCTTTGCGTCCCAGGCTCAGGGCGACGCCTATCCCGACATCACCAATCGCAACGTGCAGCTCACAGCGCAAGTATGCGCATCTATGGACGCGCTGGAGATACTTGCGCATACACTGCTTCTCGCAGAACGTGCACCTAGCGGAGCGCATCTCTTCTCCGGGAAGCACTTCCATGCTGCGCTCGTATCTTCCGAAGGTCCCGAAGTGCCCGGGCACATCTGGGATGCCGCCTGTGAGGGACTTGAAGGCAGCTTCGCTCCGGAGCGGGAGAAGAAAAGCAAGAAAGAAAAGAAGAATGCACGTCCCTCGGCTTCGACTGTACCCGGGAAGAAGGTTGCGTCAGCACAAGGGCGAAGTGTGTTTGCGCTTTTGGGAGACGCGGAGGCATAGACCCTGAGGCCTCCTCGGAAATGGACAGCTTTATAATATCCTACATGTAGGGCTCGTAATAGTGTACGACCACAACACCAAGACCATGGATCTGCGGTTTTGACTTGCCGTAGTCTTCAGACGCAGACCATGCACGGAAGACAGTCGTCCCACTTGCCGCGTCAACGCGTCCGGTCACAAACACGCTCCGTCACACGTCACCGTGTAAAAATGTGCAGATTTACGACCACCTCGGCGCCGAACCTCCATGACCTGAACGTCGATGACTCTCTGAATACCCAACAGCATCTACCTTCACCTATTCCAGGAATTTGTGACGAACCACCGTTGCCCCCGAAGCGCAGCGACTGAGCAACCACGCTTTGTTCATGCTATGCTGTGGACCATTGTCCACCCTTTGGTCTTTCCCAGGCTTTGAACTCTTGTCAATTGACAAACCACCGCTCTCTTTCGACCACGCACCACCCTGTCTCTTCCCTTCATCTGCCTTTCACACTGGATACCCGCCCTCATCGCCATGCCGAACGACATGCAAAACGTCGATGATCTGCTTTATTCCGACGTCTGGGGTGGATCTCTCTTCGAGGAACCGCCACTTTTCCCGACATACAGCCCAGCAATCAATATCCCCTCACCTCCAGGGTGCAGCATTGAGTCTGAACCTTCTGCGGAGGACGCCTACGCTTCAAATCGGTCCTCCAGCTCGCCAACCGAAGATACGTCGGAGACCACTGCAATCGCCGACATCCAGACCATATTACCCGCGCTCTTGTCAAGGATCGGCCAGCTAGTCTGGCCGCTCGAGTCTCTGCTTGCTCCGCCAACAGACGCGATGCCCGTCTGCTACTCAGCCATCCTTCCCTTTGCACTTCGGAACACCGACGAGATCAACATAGCTCCCACCAGGGAGGGAGAGCCGACTGACGAACGCGAACTGCGCTACCGCAGCTGGTTCAAAGCACAACATCAAGCTTCTGCGTACGAACATTGGCTATCGAGGGGTGGAGATACTTGCGCTCTTCGACTTGAACACCTGAACTCGCGAAGTAGAGCTCGGCAAGCGGCATACATGCAGAGGCGGCGCCGGTGCTCACACTCGTCAACCACAACTGCTCTCATCGCCTCGCCCTTGCGCTATAGGCTCGACGAGAACTCGGCGGAGAGGCATCGCACTGGCATCTGCAATCAGTGCGTCGTGACAAGCCAAGAAGTCGATAGCGATGAAGGCGAGGGCTCTGATGTCAGTTGGGGAGAAGAATGGGACGAAACCTTCAGTCTTTCAAGTGATGACTACGGAGAACTTGATACTTCTCAGGAGGAAGGAACTTCAAGCTGGCGCGAGAGGCCAATCCCTCTTGACGAGCGCTACGGTCTTGTCTACGGCCCCTCTGTCATGTTCAGTCCTCGTGTGGCTTCACTCATGGGATTTCCTCAATCATCCTGGGCTTTGTGGTTGCCATCAGAGAATGAGGAGCGCGTCGATGTTACTGCGGACCTCGATGACGATTATCTACGCGAATGGGACGTTCTTACCGACGCTCCTACGACACATGTGAGTAGCATTCGTCTATTCCAGTTGCCTGCACTCATCAACATCAGTCGGATGAGGTTTCAGCACCGGGTTCGTCGACCGCTCAGTTCGATCCCCCGGTGATTCCTATCTGCGCGACACGCCTGGCCGCGTGCGCGCATTCAGGCAGATTATCGAGGAGATCGCGTACAACGGCGATGTCGCGTGCCGCCGCAAGATCGCATCTAAAGTTGGCCGCCTGGGTACTTACAACGATCAAATTGGGCAAAACCGACTTTACAGACCTATATGATCTACCGCAGGAAGAGCAGGTCATTGGGAGTGACGATTTCGACGAAAACACGATGGGAATACCAGCGCCGCCCTCTCCGGGCTCATCGGCCAAAAGGGCTCGCGCAGAAGACGAATGTTTTGATGGGGACGACGGGGCGCTATCGCGACATGATGCACGACCTTTGAAACGTATACACATGTAGCATAATCACACCTATCTACCTCCCGCTGCGAGACAATCTCATGAGGGTGTAATGGCTCATGCAGGAACAATTCACTTGACGGAACGTAATTTCGAGCTATCTAAGTACAGTGTTTGCGTTAGCGCAAGTGTGTTGCATGATCAAAGGACATCTTTGATCATCACCCTCTTCCCTTCGGACGCGCTTTGTTTCACGGCCTCAACGTGCTGCTTCACAAGCAAGGCATCCTCGAAGGTTGGATACGCGCCCGATGTCCCGCGAGCATATTCGGCCCAGGCTCTACCAGTGTTTCCTCCGTACTCGGCGTTTTCTGTCTCGAGT